AAGAAACCCTCACAGCCTCCAGGCACCTCCCCAAAACTCCTCAGAGCTTACTGAGCACGTATGTCAACCCTGGGCAACTCAGTTATGAGTGCCCAGTACACACTATTCCTGAGCCCATGGAAGACATCACTAATGGATCCCAGAACTCCTTCCCACCAGCCCAGAGAAACAGCCCATCTCAATGCAGCAACGCAAGCAGCCATAATCAGTTGACTAGAGTTGGCATGTGCCATTGAGTCTACTTTTAACTCTTCAAATTATTGTGTGCTAAGGTCAGTATAAGAAGACACAAAGATGAAAAAAACATTGTCTCTGCTCTCGAGTCTGAAGGCAGGATATGGGAAAAGATACTTATAACAAGGTTAAGTGTAAAACCAGGGCGAAGTGTCGGAACACAGTATGGTGGAGTACAAACAAGGCAATGACCAGTTCTGCAACTAGTTGTAACTATGGCCCTATCTCTGTGAGACTTTGACCAGGTCCCTGTATGGCCTCATTTTGTTTTTCATCTGTGAAATAATCTCTGGGCCTCTATTTCCTCATCTGTGAAAAATGGAATCGTAATACCTACCCATCAGGTGGCTGTTAGAATCAAGTGAGAAAGTATGTGTGGATGGGAGCATCCGGTGGCTGTGTCTAGTTGCTGGAGAACTGAGTTTGAAGGTAGGGAAGGACTTCACCATAAGGAGACGAGTGTGTCCCATGTGAGTATAACTAATTCTGCCTAGAAGTATGACACATAGGTGGGTCTTGAAGGATGAATAGGAGTTGAATAGGCCAAGCAAGGTAGGATGGACATTTCTGGCAAAGAAACTCCCATAATCCTTAGTAGGCTTGAGATAATGAAAGCACTAGAATAGGTGTAGGGAGAATCAAACCTATATTCAGAGAATCAAGAACCATTTCCCTTCATCCCTCAAGCCATAGATGCATTATCTGGAAAAATGATCATACTTGCCTCATAAAGTTGCAGTAAGGGTTTAAGAAGATTGTGGATGTAACGCCCAAAGTGCCACCTGGCCCCACTGTCAGCCACTGGGTTGTTGCCCGAATGCCAAGGGCACAAGGGTGACCTTTGCTAAGTGAGGCAGAACAGGTTTCAAGAATTACAATTTTTTTAGAGGTTCCATGATAAAAATACATGCTTATATCAGAAGAATTGAAAACACTTTTTTTTGTGGTACTAGGATTTGAACTCACAGCTTCATGCTTACTAGGCAGGCACTTTACTGCTTGAGCCACTCTACCAGCATTGAAAACACTTTATAATGAAGCAAACACACACACACACACACACACACACACACACACACACACACACACACCCTCACCCCACCACCACAGAGAAATTCTAATATTCTAGTGCCTTGGCTCCACTCTAAGTGCAATTCTTTGCCACCCCCGTGACCATACCACATAAACAACTTCTTTCATTTTCAAATACGTTATTACATAAGCAATTTTCTATGTTGTTATAATCACTTTGAATATGTCACGTTAACAGCTTACTTATGGAGTGGCTTTATTATAATGTACTCAGCCATGTCTGTGCTCTTGGATACACAGGTCATCTACAATCTTTCCACTATTTTTGATAATGTTATGGAAAATATCTTAGCACATGAAGTTTTTTTCTGTACTTCATATTACTGCCTTTGGATAGGCCCAGATGTGGAACTAGATGACTTCAGGGTCTCCATGCAAGGCTCCTTAGGGAGCACATTTACACTCTATCAGCAGTGTTTATTGTTTTTCAGAAATACGTGGTTCTGCGTAGTTACCTCTCAGTGTTTGTGTTGAGACAAGGTCTTGCTATGTAGTCTACACTGGCCTGGAACTTGCAATCTTCCTGGCTTAGCCTCCTGAGTGCTGGGATTATAGGTGTGTATCAATACACTTAGGTTACAGTGCTAGGTCTTCATTCAGTTTTTTGATGGAAGATGAATCTTGTTATTATATATAGTTAAGCCGGGTGCTGGTGGCTCAGACCTAAAATCCTAGCTACTTAGGAGGCAGAGATCAGGAGGATCGAGGTTTGAAGCCAGCACAGGCAAATGGTTCATGAGACCCTATCTTGAAAAAAAAAATCCATCACAAAAAAGGGCTAGTGGAGTGGCTCAAGTGGTAAGAGCACCTGCCTAGCAAGCTCAAGGCCATGAGCCTGAGTTCAAAATCTGTACTGCAAAAACATATACTTAAAACAATAATCCTTTGTCCATTTAAAGGGGACATTTTTTAATATTTTGTTTGTTGGTGACATTAAATTTACAGATCTTTCCCTTTGTGATTGCTTCTTCCTTCCTGTAGGGATTTAAAAGGCAGAACTTTCTAGCTCCCTCTGGGTAAGTCACCTTTCCTTCTGGATCTGTTTCTCTTTTAAGTCAGTGGAGAGTGAAGATAGGATTTCTTGGCTTCCTTCTAGGTCTAGACTCTTGAACTGTGAGCTCCACTTGGCAGGCTTCTCCATCTGTTCTGAGGCTCCAACTGGGGAACCCCTTCTTCTTGAGACTGAGAGGAGCTCACTTATTTGCTCAACTACTGTCTTTTTGAGGATCTAGCATATGGGAGGTACCATTCCATGTGCTGGGGATACAGTACTGAAGGAAGCTACTCCCCTCCACCATGACCTTTAGTAAAGGGAGATGGACAACAGTAACAAGGTAGTCATAATAATCCAGATGGTGCAAATTCCACAGAAAAAAATAAAATGGGGTAAGAGGTCAGGGAGTGACGGGAGATGGGTGAGGGAGTTGCTGTTATAAACGGAGGGTTAGGTGACATTTTAGCTGAGGTGGGGAGGTGGGGAAGCCAGTTAGGTGAGCATCTGGGGGAAGAACATTCCAGGTAGAGGAAATGGGAGGTACAATGACCCTGCTGGACAAATTGGAAAGGGACTAAGGGGGCCAGTGAAGCCAGAGTGAAAGGAGTGAGGTGGGTGGAGAGGGGTGGAGAAGGCACAGGTGGCCATGGCCTGCATAATGATTTAGCTTCCATGCAGCAAAATGGAAACCACTGGCTGAGAGCTCAGTGGTAGAGCAGTCAGTGGTAGAATGCTTGCCTAGCATACATAAGGCCCTGGGTTTGATCCCCAGCACTGGAAAACAGAAAAGAAATGGAAACCACTGGATGGTTTGAGCAGAGCAGTGACTCCCAGCATAGCTGTATTCAAGGAGTGAGAAGAGGCCTCTAGTCTAGTGGCCACAGGAGCTGAGCCATACTCTGTCTCACTCCCAGCTGAGGGACCTTGGTGTCTCTCAGCCTTAGCTCTTGATCAAGGAAATAATTCCAAGGTTTTAGCTGGGCACCTCTCCCTCACTGTCGCGACCTAACTTGGCCAAACTTTGTGCAGGTGGGTGAAGGGGAAGGAAGGGGACATCCAGGGGCCTATTTAAAGTGGAATTGCCTAGCTCTACAAGTCCATGAGAATAGACACCAGAACTTAGCCAGCACCCACCTAGTCTCAGCCTCAGATTCTGGCTCAAGGGAGATGAATCAGTAAGTCCCATCAATCCCAGATACAGTCATGGTGGCCAGAAATGGAGCCACTCTCTACCCTAAGAATATGGGTCACCCCTCCCCCCCAAACAGGGCCTGTCTCCAGACATCCATCTATTGAACTGCCTTATTCTCAGGGAAGACCTTTTCTGATCCTGAACTCCAGTCAGTCTAGGAGCACTCCTCTTGTTCAAAGTATGTCTTCATCTGGAATTCTACAGCGATTAGTTGGAGTCTTGGATAATCTCTCCCTCCACCGTTCTAGAAACTACCACGCCTGATGAGGGCTTTGTCTATTTCCTTCACTGTTGTGTTCCCAGACCCCCAGCAGAGTGCCTGGGACATAAGAGGCACTCCAGAAAAGCAGAGTAGGGCGCTAGGGGCTCATGCCTATAATCCTATGTACTTGGGAGGCTGAAATTGAGAGGATTGAGGCTCAAGGCCAGCCTGGGCAAATAGTTCATGAGATCCTATCTCCAAAACAACAAGAGCAAATGGACTGGAAGTGTGGCTCAATTGGCAGAGTGCCTGCGTTGCAAGTATGAAGCCCTGTGTTTAAACCAGTCCAACCAAAAAAAAAGGCAGAATAAATGAATAAATGATAGGGAAGTAAGGCAGGCACTGCTATTCCCTTTTACCACCAATAAAACATAGGCCCAGACAGGCAAGAGGTCTGAACTGCTCAGCAGCAGAGCAGGTGACTGCCTTTCCACCCAGTTCCTACAGGAGCATAGGGCCACACCCAAAGGGCCTCCACGGTCTTCCCTCCCATGCCGCTCCTCTAAGAGGATTGCAAAATCAGACCCCAGCCCCAAGAATATCACTAGCTTGGAAGGAAAGAATCCTGGGGCGGGAGAGTGGGGCCAAGAGACAGCCTATTCACAATAACATCACTTTCAATGTAGCAGACCGCGTTCTTTCCCAACACCTACTCCAGGCTTTTCTTACAGAGGAAGAAATGCACACCGGAAGGTAAGTGGCCTAATCTCAGGCTGCCGCTGTCTTTGCATCTTACTGCAGAGAGAGCATCAGCGCAGGCATCTGGAGTCACGCGTTCTAGTGCTCGTGGACCTCGCTTCCACATCTGTAAATTGGAATCATTTAACAGTGGCCGGGTTGTGGGAAAATAAATATGTGCAGAGTTTAATACTGTGCTCAGCACATATTAAGTGCTCAATAAATGTTAATTATTGATACTCTTGTTATTGTTATGAGTTTCTGGGCCCAGGAGAGAGGGCTGCAGGGCGGAACCTCTGCGCAAGTGAAGTCCACTTGCGGGCCGGGGCTGTGGGGCTCCTAACCCAGTCACGCCCAGCCCAGAGATCGTGCGGGGCAAGTTTTAGGTAGAGGTCCCACGCCCCGCCCCGCCCCGCCCCGCCACTCTTTTAAGCAGGGAAGCTGAAGGCGGGCGCAGGCGCAGATCGCGCAGGCCCGGGCCTCCGCCGCTGGTCCCGGGTCAGCGAGTCGCGCGCCAGCTCTGCCACCCGACCCCGAAGAGCGCGCGCATGGAGGGGCGCGCGAGTCCCCCGGGCGAGCCCCGCTCCCGGACCGCGGTGGCCGTGCTGTTCCGCGGCCCCGTGGAGCCAGTCGTCTTCCTGGCCAACTTCGCCTTGGTCCTGCAGGGCCCCCTCACCACACAGTACTTGTGGCACCGCTTCAGTCTCGACCTCGGCTATAATGGCACCCGCGAGCGGGGGGACTGCGGCAACCACAGCGCTAACCCCATCATGAAGGTAGAGGGCCCGCGCGAACCGTGGCGCGTGGCAGGGGGCGGGCCCTGGCCGGGAGGCTGGGGGCCGTATGGGGGCGGGGCCTGCGAAAGGAGGCGGGGACTGCCCAAGGGATGGCAGGGTGGGCGGAGCCAGAGCAAGGTGGGCCTTCCAGAGACCCTCAGCTCCGGGGGTATGGACTGTCGATCTAGAGAAACCCTGACTAGGATGGTAAACAAAGGTGGGGAAAGATTAAAAAAAAAAAATTGTGTCTTGATCCATTTCCCACCACCCCCTCCAGGATCTGCTTTTGAGAATTATATACAAATTTTTAAGTCTTAAGGCTCCAAAGAAATTCTCAACCCTGTAGTTCCCATGATGGGGATGTTTTGGGAAGTGGGCAAACAAAGTGAGGAACTGCAGTCTGGTAATTGTGTCCCCACAGGAAGTGGAGACCCTGACCTCCCACTGGACCCTCTACATGAACCTGGGTGGCTTCCTGGTGGGGCTCTTCTGGTCCACCCTGCTGGGGGCCTGGAGTGACTGCGTGGGCCGCCGCCCGCTGCTGGTGCTGGCCTCCCTGGGCCTGCTGCTCCAAGCTGTGGTGTCCATCTTCGTGGTGCAGCTGCAACTCCATGTTGGCTACTTCGTGCTGGGCCGAATCCTCTGTGCCCTCTTTGGTGACTTCAATGGTCTCCTAGCTGCTAGCTTTGCCTCCGTGGCCGATGTCAGCTCCAGCCGCCATCGCACCATCCGAATTGCCCTTCTGGAAGCATGTATTGGTGTGGCGGGGATGCTTGCGAGCCTCCTCGGGGGCCACTGGCTGCGGGCCCAAGGTTATGCCAACCCCTTCTGGCTGGCCTTGGCCTTGCTGATCTTTGCAACTCTCTATGCAGCATTCTGCTTTGGGGAGACTGTGAAAGAGCCAAAGTCCACCCGGCTTTTCACGCTCAGTCATCACCGATCAATTGTCCAACTCTACGTGACTTCAGCCCCAGAGAAGTCCAGGAAGCACTTAGCCCTGTACTCTTTGGCCATCTTTGTGGTGATCACTGTGCATTTTGGGGCCCAGGATATCCTGACCCTCTATGAGCTCAGCACACCCCTCTGCTGGGACTCCAAGCTGATCGGCTATGGCTCTGCAGCTCAGCAACTTCCTTACATTACCAGCTTGCTGGGCCTGAGGCTTCTGCAATTCTGCCTGGCAGACTCCTGGGTGGCTGAGATTGGCCTAGCCTTCAACATCCTAGGAATGGTGGTGTTTGCATTTGCTACAATCACACCCCTCATGTTCACAGGTAAAGTGTGTGGGCTGAAGGACAGTTAGTCTCAGAGTATGGGGTAAAAATTGGGGACCAGCCACTTATCGCCCCCAAATGTGTTTCAAGCCTATGTTTTTGGACATATAGCTTTGCCACAAGCCTGCACTAGAGGACAGAAACTAAGAAACAACAGAAAAAAACTATCTCTGATACACAGAAATTACGGAGTTTCAATAGTGAAAACAATACATGATATCAACCACAAATAGTGTTATTAATGTAGAAGGAAAGATGGAAATATGGCTCATACACTAATTGCTTCACCCCTTGACCTCCCATAGCTTATTCATGGTGTTCTTAAACAAAGTCCATGCCATTAATGCCTTGAGCCTCAATTTTCTGATAAGAATCGCAGAACCTCCCTCAAGTATCTTTGTCAGCTTCTTTGTTTTTTGCTTTTTTGGTTTTTAAAATTTTTTTGGCAGTACTGGGGTTTGAACTCAGGGCCTCACACTTGCTAGACAGATGCTGTTACTACTTGAGCCACTCTGCCAGCTCAATAAATAAATCTGATTTTTTTCTTCTTCTTTTTTTTTTTTTTTTTTTTTAGCAGCACTAGGGCTTGAACTCATTCTTTTGAATTTTTTTTTTTTAAATAACTGGTCTTCTTCAGGCCACAGATCTGAAATTTCTGCTTGCTCAGTTCCTCTCCTTCCTCCTCTTCCTTTCCTTCCCCCTCCTTACTCTTCTTTTTTTTTTGGAGAGAAGGGGCAGCTAGCCAGGGAATAAAGAACTTAACTTTCTTAAAGGGACAGAGTTCTTAAAGGGACAGAGCCCTAAACTATGTTGTATACAAAGATGACTATTTTTTTTCAAAGTTAATTATTTAATAATCACAGATTTCTTAACTCAGTGGCTTTTCTGATAGTGAAGCCAAAGGGACCAGGTACTTTTGACTCATGCTCACCACTCTTGAAGTACTGAGATACTAAAGACACTGTCATTGCTCTGGGAATCTCAGCAAAATTGTATTTGGGGGGTCCTGACACCTGAAGGAGCCCTGGGTGCTTCATTGTATACCCACTTTGGAGGAGCCATTGCCCTCTATGAATCTAAAGTTTTAGATAGGAGACAACAGTCACATAGGGAGAGGAATAGTTAGGAAGAAAACAGTATATACCTGTACGTAACTGAATACGAAGGAAAGGAATTCACATTTACTGTGTCCTTATCATGATGTGCCCTTCTTAGATGTTACCTTGTCACCTCATGTATTATTTTCAAATTGCTACACACTGAATGGCTTTAAACAATAGAAATTTATTCTCTTAGTTCTGGAAGCCAGAAGTCCAAGATCAGGGTCACTGGGCTAAAATCAAGTTGTTACAGGGCAGTCTCCCTCCACAGACTGTAGGAGAGAAGCTGTTTCTCACCTCAAGCTTCTGGGGCTTTCAGCACTCCTTGACTTGTGACCACATCACCAGTTTCTGGCTCTGTGATCACAGTGCCTTCTTCTCTTTGTGCCTTCTCCATTCTGTCTATATCAGATCTCTCTCTGCCTTCCTCTCTCTCTCTCTTTGTGGTACTGGGGTTTGAACTCGGGGCCTACACCTTGAGCCACTCCACCAGCCCTTTTTTTTGTGATGGGTTTTTCAGGAACTATTTTCTTGTGAACTATTTGCCTGGGCTTGCTTCAAACTTTGATCCTCCTGATCTCTGCCTCCTAAGTAGCTATGATTACAGGCATGAGCCTCTGGCACCCAGCATCTGCCTTCTTCTTATAAGGGTGTGTGTAATTGCATTTAGGGCTTGATCTGACAATCTAGTGTAATCTTCCCATCTCAAGAGCCTTACCTTAATTGCATCTACAAAGACCCATTTTCCAAATAAGGCACCGTTTACAGGTTCCAGGATTTAAGACTTTATATTTTTGGGGACCATTATCCAGCTTCTTATGGTGCAGAATTGTCCTGGGACAAAGGCCTTACTATGTTCCTTTTACAGACTGGGAGCTGGGCTCAGGGAGGTAACTTATTCAAGGTCACATACAAAGTAAGCAGTGGCATCAGGTTTTGAACTTGAGGCTGACTCCAAAGCCCATGCTCCTTTTCCATGCCCTGCCAGCTCCCTACTACATGCTAAGTGGGTGCTTGATGCCTGCAGTGGCTACTGGAGGTATTTTGACCAGAAAGTGATTGGCAGGATTTGGTGCCCACTCATGAAAGAGCTATCAGATAGGCCAGCCTGGAGGAGGGGCTTCTCTGGTCCTTCTTGGTCACTGTCTCCCCACTCTCACCAGCAAGGAAGTTCTTCCTGGTAGGTATAGGAAGGGCATCACTCTCCCAACTCTGCTTTCCTGATAAGTGTCTTTCTCTCCACAGGGTATGCCTTGCTTTTCCTGTCATTAGTCATTACACCTGTTATCCGGGCCAAGCTGTCCAAGCTGGTGAGCAAAACAGAGCATGGTGAGTGTCAAGATCCATCTGCATCTGGCAATGCCTGGCATGGCCAGAATGAGGCAGTTGAACAGCTCTAACTGTGGACAGCCTACCTTCCTCCCTCCCGCCCACCCTGGAGGAACAAGGACCAAGACAGATGCCCTCTGTCACACTTCTCATGGTTAGCAGAGTACAGACTGCTCAATACAGAGGTGGGATTGCAGTCAGCAGAGCATGGTCATGTTCCATCTGGGTAACTAGAGCCAAGGGTTTAGTCTCTCTACACCTCAGCCTTTCCACTGTAAAATGGGTGTTATGGTACCAAGGTTCTGTGCTTCACTAGGGTCAGAGTGTACAAGCCAAGAAGAAAAGTAGAATCTTGTGACTTAGGCTTCATTGTCCCCAACTGACAGAAGAGAAGCAGAGGCCCAGGGGGTTAAATTGACTCCCCCAAGGCCACTCAGTGAATAGTAGAAGTAGGATGCAAACCAAGGTCTGTTTTTAAGAGCAGTGGGTCTTGGGAGCTGGATTTCAGTCCTGGCTGTGTCCTTGGCCTCAGTGTCCTTATCTGGGATATGAGTGGTTTGCCCTTGATGACACCCATAGGTCCTTCCAGCTCTGACAGTTTCAGTTTCATCTCAATTTCTGTTGAGTTGTTGCTCATTTTCAAGTTGGATTCTGCTGGCATTGCTGTAAAACAACAGTTAATCAAACCTTTGAGTCTGACACTTTAGTCTGGAAACATCTGCCCTGGAAGGAGGATCTGATAATGACAAGAGATCCTGATGCTATATACAGCCCACTGTGGGCCCTTGTGTCCCCAGAACCCAACTTCATTCATTCACTCAATAAGTGTTCTTTAACAAAAAGAAAATAAGGACCAAAAAAAGCATCCTGTCCAGCACTTTTCACTTTGCGGAGATGTCAAGAGAAACAGGAAAAAGAGTATCCCTTACTAACTAACTACCTGTAGGGAGGCCACCCTGTGAGAGGTGTTCTTCATGTGAATGAAAAGTTGCTGACAATATAGGAAAAAAACTCTCCCTATTTCTCGGGCAGAGGGACAATAACTCAGAAGGACAAGTGACTCTTCAGTGACCACACAACTATGAGTGTTGGAATGGGAAGTCAAACCAGCAGTCATTCCCAAACAGAAGATGAGTCCAAAGAGGAGAAACCCAAACAATCATTCCCATCAGCATCACATGTAGCTGGGCATGGTGGCATACATCTGTAATCCCAGAACTTGAGAGGCAGAGGTAGGGGGATCGAGAGTTCAATGTCAGCTTGGACTACATAGCAAGTGCCAGGTCAGCCTGTCTCAAGTAAAAAACAAAGACATCACATGTACTTTTAATGTGAATTTAATAACAGTCATTTATTTAGTGGCCTTTCTGTGCCAGGTGCTTTCCATGCAGGACTTTATTTAATCTTTATCACAACACTTGACACAGTAGGATGCACAGGTGAGGGAGGTGAGACTAAGAGAGGCAAAGTGCCTTGTCCCAGGTCACACAGCCGTGAGGTGGTGGTGGTGCCAGGATTTGACCCTGAGTTTTTCAAACTCTGGAACATGGTGTTTATATCTTCACAGGTGCTCTCTTTTCGGCTGTGGCCTGTGTGAACAGCTTGGGTATGCTGGTGGCCTCTGGCATCTTCAACTCACTCTACCCAGCCACTCTGAACTTCATGAAGGGCTTCCCTTTCCTTCTAGGAGCTGGCCTCCTCTTCATCCCTGCCATTCTGATTGGGTAATGCAGGGCTCTTGATCCTGTGCTCATAATGGAGCCCCTTATCCTAAAGATTCCCTCTTTATCCTGCCCCTAACGGGAAATGGCATCTTCATTATTGGCACTCTTCTCCTCTGGGTGTCTTATCCCAGGCTGACTGCTCCTTGCAGATGGTTTCCTAATTGTCCAGGAGCCATTCCCCAGGGCAAGGCGGAGGGGCAGATAGGGGAGAGATCAGGCTAACACTGCCACTTGGCAAGGCTGTGCTCTCGCCTTAGCCCCCTCCATCCTCATTTTACAGATGAGACTATGGCAGCAGAACTGTGTTAATGTGAAGCCCAGAGAGTTTCTTCCACTACTTGTGGTGGGGCCACAGGCAAGCCTGACCCACTAAAGTCCTAAAAGTCATTCTCCAGGGCCATCTGTCTGAGGACATTATCCTATACCTCCCAGCTTGGGGACAGGGAGTGGCTCAGGAGTGACATACCTGAACCGGCCCATTCAGATCAGTCCTGTGTCACTTCTCCAGACAGGGGCTGAGGTCTCCCCATGTCAACTCTGAACCCTCTCTCTGGTCTCTCATAGGCTACTGGAAAGGAGTAATCCTCACCCTGAATTCCAGCAGTTTCCTCAGAGCCCCTGATCTGCCTGGGCCAGAGGACAGAGGGCAAGAAAAGCAGAGTGAACATGTACCAACAGCAAGACTGCACCCAGAAGCCCGGTGCACAGCAACACAAGACCTCATCAGAGCAAGCACTGACAACTTGGTCAGGCTAGATCCAGGGACCTCCTGGTTCACAGCTAAGCCAGCCTCTGTCTAGGATATGGACTTCTAACACGGATAGGCCCACTCCAGGGCAGGTACAGGGAGCCATTTGAGGCAGGAGTCTGTTTACCTTTTATGTCATCCATCACTTTGAATCCTCCAGGGGAGAAGTAACACTTCAGGGACTAGGTGAAGCAGGAGGGCTGACTTCTCACCTTCAGCTCAAACTATTCAGCCCATGGTACTAGGCCTCTGCCAGCCTTGGGGGCCAGAGGGAAAGGCTGCTGTGCCATGGTTGAGAATCAGTCCTTGACCATGACCTGTCCACCCTTGACCTCAGCAGTGTTGTCACAATAAATCAGTTGAATCAGGCTTAAAAGAACCTTCCAGACCTCAAAGCTTTGGTTTGGGGGCCCTCTGTTTTATTATTCCTAGTCTGCCTGCCATGGGTCAGACACCAGCAACTGCTGGCTTGGGTGGGAGCCCCTAAGATGTCCATTGGATTGGTAGTTGGGTATAGCCAGCCAGCTTCATCTGGCTCCCCTCGGAGCTGCTGGGTGAAAGTCTGCCTGGCTTACATCAAGTCAAGGCAGAGCACTGGCTGCCCATTTTGGGGGTCCGTTGGAACTACTCCTGGGAGGCACCATACTAGTGTTCCTGGCTACACCAGCCCAGGTGGAATCTGTTTTTCTTGCCACTCAACTCTCCAGCATTGCCCATTTCTGACCAGAAAGTCATGTGCTGAGACCATCCTTCATTCTTCCATAGGTTAATGGGAACCTGGGAGCTGAGCCCAACCCACCATGTGACCCAGGGACACCAGCTTCCCAGAGACTGAAGGGACCATGTCTGGGAAGCTGGGAAAGTCAGGACCTGAAGTTGAAAGGCAGAATCTTATTTAATATTAAGGCACTAGCTTTGTAAGTCCCTTAGCAAACCCAAATGAGGAAACTCATGACTCTTTAGACCAGAACTGCCCGTGGGGACTAGGCCTTACTGCCATTTCTCCATTTCTCCCCTCATTCTCTCTCACCTGCCCTGCAATCCAGTTTCCTGGCTGGAAATCATGCAGGTGAAATGGGGATAGCATAGGAGAAAGTAGGGTCAGCTGAATTCTGCAGCTTGGGCCTATTTCAGACTCCTGCCTCACTATCCCCTCTGTAACAGGAAGAGCAAAGCAAGGAAAGGGCCTCCACTGACCAACCACCATGAGGCTGTGAAGATGAGGAGGGAAGAGACTTGGGCTGGCCCCAGGCTATGGCTGTAACCTGGCTAGCTGTGTGACCTTGAGCAAGCCACTCTAGGAAGAGCTGGATGAGCAATGCCCCCAAACCTTATGATCATGGAGGTAACACCCAGTTGGATGCATTACCTCCCCCCTCACACATTCTAGAATGAGATACCTGTCTTTGTGGCCTGGTGGAAGGATGAATGAATTGCGGCTGGGCTTTTAGCCTCCGAATGTCCCTGAGCAGTTTGTGACTCCTGGGGAGGAGTAGGTGAGGTGGGATAGGGACATTACTGACTCAGCCCCAGCCTGGGGGCAGCAGCTACAGCCCAGCTCAGCAGAAAACCCTGGCCCCACAGATGTCAGGGTAGGCTCTGGGGAAGGGCTGCTTCAAAACCCGGTCTCAGGATCGGCTTGCTGGGTGGAAAGTGAGGCAGCCCAGGTGCCGGTCTTGCTGCAGTCTTTGCAGTGTTTGTCACAGCAGGGTAAGCCACTGCCCCGAGCACACTGGCCTGCCTGCAGGAGACTTGTCATGTCATTTACTTTGCTCTGGCTGAGGCAGAGGTCGACAAAGGCCAGACAGTGGAGGTGGACAGTAGAAAAGTGTCCCAAACAAGAAAAACTGGCATACCTCCAGAGGGAATGGAACTGACTGGGGACAAAAAGACAGAAAGCTTCCCCTGGAGTACTTGTATACTGTATTGTTACTGAGTTTGCTTTGTGAGGGCACCACCAGCCAGTCAGCCTCACCCTGGAATCCAGGGTAGCCCCAGATTAGCATCGGTGAGCACTCAACCTGCCTGACTGAGGGAAGGTGACAGGGAGACAGCCAGAGTTGGGCCAGGTGGAGGGGAGTGGAAGGAAGGCATCCCAAGTCTGAAAAGAGACCTTCAGCTTTCTGATGATGTGGCCCAAAAGCAAGAAGTAACCTGGCCGGCTCCAAAGGAGGGAGTCTGGGAGCTGCACCAACCTCTAGGTGAGACCCTACCACCCTCACAGGAAGTTGCAGGGCAGGTACCAGCAGATCCCACTAGCTGCAGCCTGGGTGCTTTCTTGAACTTATTATGTAGTGGAGGAAGAGGCAGGGGGCCATTTCTGTATGGCTTCTGGGTCAGCCATTTGGCTAAGCTCCATCCCCTACTGCTGGATTCTTTGGGGCAAGGAATAAGCTACTGCCCTGTCTAGATACGATTGTCAAGAGAGAAGGTGGGCTGGTAGGCCTGGGTCTGGGTCCTGGGGCTGCCACCAATGATTTGGGACTGGGTTCTTCACTCAGCCTCTCATCCTTATCTATAAAATTGGGCTCCTGTGATGATTAAAGACCATGACAAGAGTGTTTGGAAAATAGCAAGGATTTGTGAGGGACCTGCCACTCAAACGATTGTGTCTTGACCAGCTGCATCAATTGGCCTCGAAATCTGTGAGGAATACAGATTCTCATGCCACCCATGGATTTACTGAAGTGGATTTAAACAAGATTCCCAATGCACTGAGTACACACTGCAGTTGGAGAAGCTGCCCTAGGACCAACCCATGCTTCTGAGGATCTTACCTCCTCCCACACAGTTGCAGGTTCTGCCCAGGCTTGAGGGCTGCCTGGTCCCCATCTTCCCTGAGCAATAGGTAGCAACCTGGGCCGGGCTAGGTCCAGCTGGGCCTTAGGCATAGCACCAAGGCATGGGGTAAGGTGGCTTAAGACATGGCCTTCCCTGCCCAAGGAGGTGGGTCCCCTTGCCCCAGGAAGTGCTGTCTCAGCCCAGTGTTGACCCTGGATATGGCTAAAGAGGCTATCCCAAAGGAAGGCTGGGAGGGCACTGAGTGTTACAGGCAAGGCCATAGGCAGCAGGAAGGAAGAGCCAAGGGTTAGGCACAGTCTCAGTGGACAGCCATTGTGGGAGTCTCATCTCTGGCTATCTCTCAGGCCCAGGCAGAGGGGGCTTGGGCATTGCCCTGACTCCTGCCTGAAGCTACCTGCCTTTACCCTAGTCAAGTCGGCTGCTCTTAGGGAAGGAGGTGGGAGAATGTGTAGCCTTCTCCCCCACCCGCATCTCCTATTTCCTTAGATGGAAGCAGGGACACAGCTCTAGGAGTAGGAGACAAACACCTGATGGCAGGGCCCAAGAGAGGAGGATTTCTGCACCTGTGCCTGATTTCCTTCCTTTACAGATTCTGAGGAAGGTGGATTTGATGTGGCCATGGGGGTGGGGATAGGGACAGCCATTTCCTGAGAAAAGCCCAGACTATCTCAGCCCCAGGTGGGTGGTTTGAGGAGCTGTTCCTTTGGGGAGGACAATGGGAATGGGGTCACAGCGGGGCTTGGGAACCAGGGACTGGCTAAGGTGGACCAATTGGTGCGGCACCCTCCAAACTGGTATCGGAGCCTGCAGATGATTCCTGAGAGGAGCGGCCCTGCAGAAAGCGGATGATCTTCTCAATGGTGGCCTCCTGGTACTCATGGGACCACCTGTGGGCACAGAGGCTGAGTGGGTCAGAAGGCTGGACACAGGGAGCTGCTGGTTGGGGCCTGTTTTCATTTGCAGTTCTAGGGATTGAATTCAGGGCCTCGCACTTGCTCCACTTGAGCCAAACCCCAGTCTTTTTGCTTTAGGTTTTTCAGATAGGAACTCATACCTTTGCCTGGACTGGCTTTACAGTGCTGGGGATCAAACTCAGGGCCTTGTACATCCTAGAAGGGCCTGTTTGCTTTACCCATGGGCTGCCTGTTGGGGTGATTTGTACCCCTCCTCCAAATGGCTCTGTCCCTGGGGCCCAGGGGCTCACTTGATGCCATTAAAGGTAAGCACAGCCTGCATGTCCTCAGGCAGAGCCTGGGCTCAGGCCACTCGAAGCCATCGATGACAGGCACAATGTTCTTGCCACAGCTTAATGCAGTTACAATCTCCTGGAGAAATATGAAAAGGGAGGGAGAGACCTGTTACAGTGTGAATCTTAAATGTCTTCTGAAAGGTCATGCATAAGAGGCTTGGTCCTCAGCTGATGGCACTACTGGGAGGTGGTGGAAACTTCAGGAAGTGGGCCTGGTGGAGAAAGTAGGTCAGGAGGGATATGCCCTTGAAGTAGTTTGAGAGACCCTCTCTCGAAAATACCCAAACCCCAAAAGCTCAAGTGGTAGAGTGCCTGCCTACCAGCATGGGACCCTGATTTCAAACCCTGGTACAACCAAAAAATAAAAAAATAAAACCACTGGATTCTCCTGAATGATGAGTGTCTTTTGCTGATGAAAGGTTGGAGTAGGGAAGTAGCCTAGAGAGCTCAGGAAGAAAGCTGGTCACCAGAAAGACCAGGGTTGGGACTTTCAGGCTCAGCCCATGACTTCTGGGGAAGGGCTGTACACTGTAACCAGTGGCCAACGACTTAATCAACCAGGCCCATGTGACAAATTCTCCTTAAAATTCCCTCAGCAATGGGGTCTGAAGAGCTTTTGGGTTGATGAAGAAGCCAGGAAAGTGAGGCCCAGGAGAAGGCATGGAAGCTCATCCTCCTTACCTTGTCCTGTGCATCTCTTCCATTAGCCCCTTCCTGAACTTGTAATAAAACCGGAAATAGTAAAGTGCTCTCCTGAGTTCTGTGAACAGTTTGGGTGGACCTAGGGGTGAGGGTGTGTGTTGTGGAGCCACTGAATTTGTAGCTCAGTCAAACAGAAGTAGCCTAGGGACCCAGGACGTGAGACTGGCAACTGATGTGAGGACAGTCTTGTGGGACTGAGTGCTATGGAGTCTAATACTACAGTACTGAATTGAACGGTGGGACATTCCCCTGGTGTTAGAGAACTAGAGAATTAGTTGTTAATGTGGAAGAACCCCCAGATGACTTGGGGTTAGAAGAAAACTTACATACTTTGGCATCCAGGTTGAGCCATAATGGGCCCTGCTCATTGTACTCCTTCCTTCTTTCTCATCTGCATCATTTTTCTCTACTCCCACCCTACCCAGCCCTGCTCCAACCCTCACTGTCTTTACTCCCACCAGGTCTCTCCTCATCCACTGTTGTCCCTTCTGATATGTTCTCCACATTGCCCTTTCAAAAATCCACTTTTCAAATTCTAGTCCTACACTATCTACCCAGCCACATAGACCTCCATCTTCCTCCCTGACAGGACTTTTCACACATGTTGTTTCCTCTGACTAGAACATGCTTCCCTGCCCTTCTACCTACATCCGCTCATTTTTCTAATCTGTGCTCAATCAACACTTTCCCAGGGCAATTGTCCCTACTTCCCTGACCAAGTTAGATCCCCCATTACAGGCTCTCATAGGCTCTGCTGCCTATGAAAATATACAGTTGAAAATTTAAAATAATTAATGGGTAATTTACATAATATGTATCATCTCTGCCAGACATAAGGGATTATTTCTGGTTTTTTTACTCCCCTTGTTTCTCAGCATCTTTTACAAGGCCCTGCCTATGGTAAGCCCTTGCTAACTTTCTAAAGAATGGAGAAATGAATAAATGAAGCAATATAGCATAACAGTTAAGGTCTGAAATCTTCAGATCTGGGTTCACATGGAGTCTCTGAAATAAGCTCTCTGACTTGAGACAAAAATAATGGGCTCTTGAAATCTGTTTTGTGATATATAAAATAGGGTAATGACAGTCCCTATCTTACAGGATTGTTGCAGGGATAACTGAACTATTTCAGGCAAATAATCAGAGCAGCACTTAGCAAGTAGTGTATGCTTAAGAAATAAAAGGAAGCCTGGCGTTGTATTACACCTGTAATCCTAGCTACTTGGGAGGCTGAGATGAGGAGGATCTCAGTTTGAAGCCAGCCCAGGCAAATAGTTTGCAAGATCCCATCTCCAAAATAACCGGAGCAAAATGAGTTGGAGGTACAAGGCCCTGAGTTCAAACTCCAGTTGTCCCCTGCCCCACTAAGAAGAGAGAGAGAGACAGAGAAAAGAAAAGAAAAATAGGTTCTTATTTCCTCCTCTACAAGTTGAGGGGGATAAAGCCTACCTCACAACTGTTCTAGGATATTTATTTACTATTAATGATGCTCTGGTAAGTGCTTATCGAACGCTTTTTTTCTTTCAAGGAGGAACCACAGGGATGGGACTTTCTTGAGTACAGTTCACTTGTGGTTTTCAATATTGATTAGCCACTAAATGTGGCTTTGGGAAAGGAGTATCAAAACCAGAGGCAATTAGACTCTAAAAACAACCAAAGAGGGATGACACAGTCTCTGGGACTGGTCCAAGGCAAAGGCCGCCACTACAATGCTTGCCTTTTCCCTCCCTGCTGTCTTCTGGAACAACAATAGGTGCCAGGCACCCTTGTGTAGTAGGGCCTTCCTGGGGAAAGAGCCTGCAAAACTCCAACCCTGACTGGCCTTCTGGGAGCCTCTATTTTATAGATGCAGACAAGAAGAGTCAGAGAGAGGAAGGGACTTCTCCCCAAATCCACAAATTGGCCAGGAGGCGCTAGGTCTCCAACTGAAGCCTTCACAGTTTGAGTCTGGGATTGTTTCAATCAAATCCTGCTGCCTCTCTGCTGAGCATCTGGATGAATTCTGACCTGGTCACAATTTATTTGATAGCTGTTTCATTCAGAATTACCCAGAACCAAAGACAGTACAAACTGCTCATTGCCCAGACTCAGAGGCTGACCAACAAAGGCATAATGGCTGGGCTGGGAGTGTGGTTCAGTAGTGAGCACTTGCCTAGCACTCATGAGGCCCTGGGGTCCATCCCCAGCCCACAAAAGAGAGAGAGAGACAGAGAGAGAGAGAGAATATAGCTGTTCAAGATCACACATCTGTTTTGGTTAAACCTACTAGATATGCATCAGAATCACTAATCTGTTTAATTATTGGTTCAATTATTCTATAAACTCCTTTTAAAGCCTCCTTTGTTCTATGCATGGTTTTAAGCTCCAGGACATAGCATGAACAAGGTCTGAACTCTCATAGCACTCACAGACACCTCTCTCTCTCTCTCTCTCTGCTGCCTGCCACTTGCTTAGGGTCATCAGTCCTGTTCTTCCAGGATGTCTTCCTGGCCCCTCCTACATGGCCTCTGGGGCTTGGCCTTCTTCCCCTCTGCCAATCTGGACTGCCCTCTATGTTGGAGTCCTTATCTTAACCCACTAGTTTGGGATCTCCCTGTCATGGGCTCCCTGTTTCCCAGTGTTTTAAACACAGGACTCCTCCCTGCCTTTAGAAACTCCATGAGCTGGTGCAGTGGCTCAAGTGGTAGAGCGTCTGCCTAGAAACTCCATAACTGGTTCCATAATTCTCATCCAGCCAATGGTGTACTGGTAAATGTATAACAGCTAGCATTCCATGGTGGGGAAATCCCAACCACTCAACCATACAAACAAACAGCAAAACCAAAACCCTCATTTGTAATGATTGCCAATTCCATTGGTGTAAGTACTCCCTCCGTGGCTGATTCCAGGCTAACAACATGACGTCACTGGGTGGAAAGTTGAGAAGAGATGAAGACGACACTCTGGCATCAGCTGAATGCAGCCCTGTTCAATCCCCCTGCCCCCACATGCAGCCTTAGGTCTGTGTCATGGAACACAGTGCAGGTCCTGGGAGTCAGTCAGGTGAAGTTCGAAGCCCAGCTAGCACTGTGGCCATGCAAAAATTATTCTGCTTCTCTGAGCCTGTTTCTTCATCTGTGAGATGGAAAGACAAAACCAGCAATGCACATGGGCTGGGACACTTTGATAATCCTCACCTTTATTCCTTTACTCATGCTTTTCCCCTTTCCCTGCCTGGATGCCTTCTCTTCCATTCACCTACATTCTTAAGACCCTTTACACATCCTGCTTCCTCCACAATCTCTAGCTTTCCTGATTACTTTAGCCTCTGTGTTTTCTCCCTTCACACTCCCCAGCAAGTGAGAGATTTGTCTACCTGGTTTAGCATTTACACCAACTTGAATATCATCTAGACATTATGGCATATTCTGTTTTTAATGAGGGTTTTTTTTTAAACAAGGCCTTTCTATGTTGTCCAAGCTGGTCTTGAATTGCTGGGCTCAAGTGATCCTTCTGCCTCAGCCTCCTGAGTAGCTAGGACTACAGGCACTTGCCACCAACCTGGCTCACTGTATACATATTCTTATCTCCTCAGCTACTTGAAGACAGGACCTCATCTCAGATGATTACTCTATACCTCTGCCCCTTCCCAATTCCTATTGATTGATAATCTGAAGATGTGATATGGATTCATCTATCCATCCCATCTATAAATATTCTAAGTTCCTACTGGGTCATGCACAGAAGATACAGTAGTGAGTTAAACAGATGTAGTAGTCAAAATAATTATATTAGTTACTACAATTGCTATCATTATTGAGCAGTTACTATTCTACTAAGCACTTTACAATTGGGTTCTTTTAATCCTCATAATAATATCCTAGAAAGTTAGATACTATTATTATTATTATTATTATTATTATTATTATTATTATTTTGGTAGTATTTGGGTTTGAACTCAGGGCCTCACGCTTGCTAACCAGGCACTCTACCACTTGAGCCGCTCCGCCAGTTGGGAGTTAGATACTGGGATTGTCCACTTTTCAGAAACAAACATGAAGTTCCCTGTGGTTAAGTAACTTGCTCACAGCCCGAGCCAGGATGCAAACTTACATTCTGTGCTTTTACCAATGATTCAATCCTGCCCATCACTATCCTCCCTATCACTCACACAGGTTATTTTTCAAAGCATTTTTATCCTCTCTGACCCTCTCAACAATCTACAAGATAAATAGGTCAAGTAGATGAGAAAACTGAGGGTCAGAGCACTGAAGGGGCTGCTGTATTCCTATTCTTGTTAAGAGTTTCCAGCTGGGCCAGGGAGATGCTTTGGGGTTGAGTGTTGCTGGGGTGTGCAGAGAATGGTTGGAAAGCAGACCCTGACCTCTAGGGCTTGGGCCAATGCTACAACCACAGAGGGCCTGCCACCTACCTTGTGCACCCAGTCCTTGCAGTCATGGTCCTGCATGCATTTGTCCAGTGCTCCAGCTGACAGCACCAGCACAAAGTTTCGGGCCCCCATGACACTCTGGATGAGCTTGTCTTCGAACTTGCCTGCTTCCAACTTCTCCACATCGATGAAGACACTGAAGCCATGCAGCTGGAGGTGAACCTTCAGGAGGCTGCAGAAGGGTCCTGTGTCACTGCCATAGCCTTGTCCAAAGCCCAGGCTGCCTACCCACCACTCCTTACCTGGCTAACTGGGAGCCTGAGTTCCTTCGGTAGCTGATGAAGACATCCGGGGTGTCCCCGCTGGGCTTGCCACCAGTACAGGGCAATGGGGAGTGCAGCATTTCTGAAACCAGCAAGAGAGACAGCATGGTGAGGATAACCCCTCCCCACCACTCCCTATAAGGTACATCATCCCCTGGGGACTTAGTCCCCTGCCCACTCAGACTTCTCAGCCCAGTGTGGGCAAGGTGGCTTTCTCCAAAAAGGGTCAAATGAGTGAAGAGATTGAGCCTACAGGAAAAAAAACTGTCATCACTGGCAAGTACCTCTCAGAAGGTAGGCACCATGAAGGGCATGGTGGTGCATGCCTATAAATACCAGCTACTCGAAAGGTGGAGGCATGAGGATCATGAGTTCTAGGCCATCCACAGCAAAGTTAATGAGACTCTGTTTCAAAAATAAAATATGAAAACAAAAGGGCTGGGGGCATGGCTCAAGTGGTAGAGCACCTGCCTACCCTGGGTTCAATCCCCAATACCAAAACAAACAAAGTAGAAAAACCAGAATGGTTATATGGCAATGCTTTCACACCAACATAAAAAAGAAAAATTGTAAATCAAACCAGTGTAAGTCGGGGACTATCCATATTTACTGAGCCCAACCGGTGTTCTAGGGCCCTCAGTGCCTGGAACACAGTAGTGAACAAAACAGACGAAACTGTGGAGTCGTTGGGCAGTGCTCAGGACCAGGCACCGCGCCGTGTGGATTCTACCTTCTACCTACTCAGCATTCTGAACTCCAGCCCCAGGACCCTATTGCAGGTCCCCAAGGCCAGCCTCCTCAGTGTGTTCCCCAAATCCAGCTAGGATCGCCCATTCGAATCTCTTTGCTACACCACCAGAGGGATCCTTCTAAAATCCAAACCTGCGTATGTCACTGCCTCCGTTTAAAAACTGTTCATGGCTCCTTACTTCCCAGAGAAGCTGTTTTTTTTTTTTTGTAAGCTGCTTTTGCCCAGGACTTTTCTGTCTTTTCAAAAATGAAATCTTCCCAGTACCACCAAAGAAAATGAAATCTTGAAGTTATATTGGGAGCTAGGATATAAATATGGTAAAAGCTGAAAGAATGGTGCCAAAGCCCAGCTCGTAGGTGCTTAGTTCGTACTTGCTGAATGAATGGGTAAAATGAAAAGGATGTATCTTATAGTATTCATATTTAACACCTACAGACAACATTACTAAGTAGAAAGATGGGCTTAAATAAAATTAGATTAGTTGTCATCTAATGGCTTTTATACGTTTGGGAAATGTATTTAAATTCTTTAAAGCTTAGTTTCATTATCTTTTTTTTTTTCTTGGTAGTACCAGGGTTTAAACTCAGGGTTTTGTGCTTTCTAGGCAGGTGCTCTACTGTTTGAGCCATGCCGTAGCCTTTTTTGCTTTGGTTATTTTGGAGATAGGGTCTCTCTTTTTGCTAGTCCAGCCTGAACAGTGATCCTCCAGTTTTAGTTTCCCTCTGTTGCTGGGATTACAGATGCACCACCATGCCCAGCTTTTTTTCCTGTTGATATGGGGTCCCACAAACTTTTTTTGCCTGGGCTGGCCTAGAACTGTCATCCTCCTGAGCTCAGCCTTCCACATAAGCTGGTGATGTGAGACCTTGCCAGTTATTTGTTGAGATGGAGTTTTGCTAACTTTTTGCCCAGGTTAGCTTGGAGCTGCCATCTTCTCAATCTCAGCCTCCCACGTATCTAGGATTACAGGCATGAACCACTGGTGCCCAGCCAGTTTCATTATCTTTAGAATTAAAACCTATGGTGAAAATGTTTTTTTACACAGAGGTATGTGTTTTTCAAAAACTCCTCAAATTGGGCACTATTTTTGGGGGTTTGTTTTTGTTTTACTTGAGACAGGGTCTTACTTTGCAGCCTGGGCTGACCTCAAACTTGCAGTCCTGTTGCCTCCACCTTCTGAGTGGAGGCATGCACCACCATGCCTGGCCAGTTCTACTTATCTTTTATGTTGAAATACCTCTTTTTATCTTTAAAAGGTTTTAAAAGTTGACTTTTAAAAATGTGAATTCTACTGTATAGAATGGTTGTCGAAACCATTTAATATCTTAAAAACTTAATATAATACCTGGTATATAGTAATGGACAATAAATACTATCTAAAGAGTAAATCAGTAAATAAAAACAAGTTAGTAAATAAAGAGGGTTGGGAGAGCCCTAGACACCACTGTAAAGCACCTCGGGAACCCTACTTTGTAAGTGTTGGCCACTAGGATAATCCCCTGCATGTCCCATGTATGCACCCCACCCACTGTCCTACCTCTCTCTACACTAGCACAAGCTGCCTCCTCTGCATGGGCTGTCCTTTCTGCTACCCCAACTTCCATATATCCCTCAAGACCTGACGAGGCATTCCCTCCCCCACCCTCCAAGTCTAGACCTGGGTAGACAGGGTAGGTTCTTCTTCTGGGTTCTCACTGGAGTCCTGGGCATGCTTCCTGTTAGGACCAGCTGCCCTTTTGTATATCTGCCTTATTCCCACCCTGGTACCCACCTCAGACTGGGAAGGTTTTTTTTTTTTTTTTTTTTTTTGGCGGTACTGGGGTTTGAACTCAGGGCCTCATGCTTGCTAGGCAGGCGCTCTACCATTTGAGCCACTCTGCCAGCCCAGACTGTAAACATCCTAAGGGCAAAGCGCAACATGAAATTCATCTTTAACAGCCTCAGAACCCAGTCCCACTCCGCATGGTCTTTTATCACTCCCCAGGGAGGTTCTGAGCCTCTATCCTGAGCCTCCCCTCACTCTTCAAGGGCTAGGGCTGGGGTGGGGTCGAGTCCCAGGTGCGCGCACTGACCTCTGGCAGCGGAAAGGATGCGCGCACGGTGCACTCCAAGGCGGATGCCACAGTCCTCCAGCAGCTGCTGCTCAGACACTCGGTGCAGCAGGGATCGGTCCAGGCCACAGCTGACCAGGCCATAGGTGTACTGGCGAAAGCGCGGGTCCAGGCTGCCCAGCCAGTCGGCCAGGTTGCTGCGGTCGCACGTAGCATAGTTGGCGAAGGTCTTAAGCTCGGTGAGCTCCCTGAAGAACCTGCACGCCACGGAGAAGACAGAAGTTTTTTCTAACTCGGGACTGGCTAGTGGCAGAGAGGGTGGTTAGTTAAACCTGGCAAGGTCGGGCTGGCGGAGGGGGGTTCCCTACTTCTTGCGGGTGATTCCCGATTTCATGCCCAGGTCGCTCTGGAGTTCCTCCTCCGTGAGCCGCAGAAGCAGGTCGCCATCTACCTGCTGCTCCTGGGGGGAGGGGTCAGGTGTGAGGCAGGCTCTCCTCCTCCAAACTCAAGGTGTCAGGGGAGGCAACTGGCGGTGGAGAAGGCCAATGGAACCCCAAGGGTGACTGAGAGTAGGCTTCCCACCCCCAAAAGGACACAGCGGCGCCACAGGCATTAAGGCCTCGAGGGGCAACAGTGACTCCAGGGGAGGCGGCCCCCCACGGCTCTACCCGGAAGCGCTCGCAGTACTGGGAGAAGCCGATCTGCTGCAGCCATGTCTGGACCTCGGCCTCCTTCCAGCTGGCCACAGAGGGTTGGATCCGTCGAGGTACCTCCTCCCCCAGCAGGCGCAGCGCGCGCTTGGCCAGCGCCGATGTGGTGCCATTCGTGGAGTAGGAAACTAGGCGTTTCAGGCTCTGGATGGCGCCGATGTCGCTGAACACCTAGGGATGAGGTGAGGAGGGTCTAGGATCCATCAACTCTCCAGGTCCCCTTAACGTGTCCAGTCCTGCCCCTCAACTTTTCTCACAACTAAGCTCTAGTTCTCCACTAACTGACCCAGTCTTGTGGATTCTCCCTCCTGGAACTCACTCAGCTGTTGACTAGGACCCACTCCCCTGTCCCTACTACAGTGTCCATCTGCCTTAGGGTTAAGTCTGAGCTCTCAGTATGGTGGCCAGGCAACTCACAGCTCACCTCACACACCCACCAAGGCTCTCACCCATGGCGTTCCCAAACTCTTAGTTCTTCTAGTCGGCCCATCCGAATCTTACTCATCCATGGGAATCCAAATTGATTAACACCTCTTACATGCAGCCCACTTTCCTTCATAGCTTGGCCCACACCTCCAGTTGGACTTGGTCCATACTCTGCAGCCCACTGTCACTAGTTGATAATGCAACTTCAATTGGACCACAAGCTGAGGACATGACTTAGTCACTGCTGGCGTCCAATACCTGGCACAACGAAGGACATGGAGTAGGGGTTCAATAGGTCGTTGTTATACTGTGTTCGCTTGGTCTTGCTGGGAAAGAGGTGGCATAGCTAATGATCAGGGGCTGCTGAGCAGATCCCACCATGGGTCCTCACTCCCTGCTCCCCTCCTAGTCCCTCTCCCAAAGCAGAATGATGTGCATTATAGCTCACTCTTTTTTTTATAAGAAAGAGTGAAGCTCTCTCAAAGAATCTTCAGGGACACACATGATGGGTGACAATCACTTGTGAGATACATTCCTCTGAGCATCCCTATACGACACCTGTGGTGCAGATGGGATAGGTGATACAGTATGCACCTCTCCCTGTGCAACAGGGCCCCCAGAGGAATGCAAAGGAGTGGCAATGGCACTAGAGGGATAATCTTAAATCTGTAATGTTTTATTTTATATTTTGGTGGTACTGGGGTTTGAACTCAAGGCTTAACACTTGCTAGGCAGGTACTCTACCACTTGAGCCACTCTGCCAGCCCTAGTTTTTTTTTTTCTGGTACTGGGATTTGAACTCAGGGCCTATACCTTGAGACAGTCCACCAGGCCCTCCTCTCCCCTTTTATTTTGTGATGAGTTTTTTCGAGATAAGGTCTTGCAAACAATTTGCCCCAGCAGACATCGAACCACAATCCTCCTGCTGTCTGCCTAAGATTATAGATGGGAGCCACGGGCACCTGCTTAAGTCTGTAATATTTTAAAAACAAAATCCACCAACTTTTGCAATGAAATGATCACTAGCTTCTCATCCAGGGAAAGAACTGCTCCTTCAATTTTCCAGAGGAGAAACACGAAGCCCAAAGAGGGGAAGCCAGGTAACCAGGGTCACATAGCAAGTTAAAGCAGCAGGCAAAGGTGGTTTAGACCCTTTGCAACGAAGGTGAGAATTCTCTGGGGTAGGACACTGATGTCCTACCCCAAGTCTCTGTCTCTAGCTGCAATCTCCTTTCCAGACTCCTGACCCAGGTGGCAAAACTGCCCACAAAGCTTCCCAACTGGGCATCTCTCAGGCACCTCAAACTCAACATGTGACTCTGAACTCACTTTCTTTCCCTCCTCCACTCAGACTCGTCTCTCACTCAGTTTACCTTATCCATATACATGGCCAGGAGTCACCCTCAGGTCCTCTCTCTCCTCCATAGCACCAAGTCCTAATCCCATCCCTTAAACAACTTTGGACTCTGTCTGCTTCTCTGCCACTGCTCACACCTTTGCCTCCATTCTCAATTCCCCACAACCATCACAGCCTCCCATGGGGTCTCCTTGCCTCCAATCTCAGCCTTGCCAGCGCCATTTGGACACAGCAGCCAGAGTGATCCTTACAAAACACAGGTGCCCCGGCTTAAAAACCTCCCCATGTCTTCCCCTTGCCCCAGAAGCCAAGTTCAAACTTTGAGTTTTTACCCTGTTTTACCTAATTCTTACATATACTTCAAGTCTCGGTTGAGTGTCACTTCCTCTAGGAAGCCTTCCCAGATGTATTCTAGCTCCTGACCCACCCTACCCTTCACCAGCACCTTCGTCTTGCCCTGCAGGCTCTTGATGGCTGCCTCCGCACACAGGTAGAAAGCCCCGATGCACTGAGCCTCCAAGCGCGACGAGTCGAGCAGCAGCACCAGGCTCTGCAGGTCGTCTGGCCCTCGGCCCTGGCTTGTGTCGCTGGCGTCCACCAGGCAGCGTGCAAAGCGGCCAGGGTCCAGCGAGGCCACGAGCGGCTCCACAAGCGCCAGCGTGCCCGAGCGCTCTACCTCGCGCTCCACCTCTTTGTTGGTGGCCAACACCGCCACAGCAAGGCAAGCATGCAGCCGCAGCAGCTCGTCCTCCTTGGAGAAGGCGAGCGGGAAGAGCCACTCAGCGGCGCGCTTTTCCACCATGCGCCGCTGCGCAGCCTGGCCCCCGTGCAGCGCGCAGTTAGCCAGCGCCAGCGCGCAGTGGCGCAGGAGAGCCGGGTCCGTGCGGCGGCACCAGTATAGCACCGCGTCCAGGCCGCCGGCCGCCACCAGCCGCTGGCACGTCTCCTCCGAGTGCTTGAACATGTGTTCCAAGATGCCTGCTACGCTCCGTGCCAGCTCCACGGGTTCGCGCTCCTTCGCCAGGTTCAGGATCACGCCCAGTCCGATGCGCGCCACGCGGTCCCTGCCAGCAGAAAATGAAAGGTAACGGTGGAGTGGCCCCAGCCTGTGGAGCTTGGCTTGCTCGTTAGGTTAGAAGTCTGGTTATTTAACCTCTTTCGACTTCACTAGTGTCACAGGACATATGGGGACAGCGTTATTCTCCCCCGCCCCCACTTTTGGCCTGCAAGGACCTGCCTATTTCAGAGAGATTATAAGGGTGCTCCATTTTGGCCAGTATGCTTGAGAAGCAGTTATGTTTCCAACTCTGGAGCAGAAACCAACCCTCCCCCTCCCCCGTCCCTTTTGCGATTTTCTAATTGTAGGACCCTGGGTGCCTTCCTTATCTCTCTACTTTCCTTTCCTCAGCTCATAAATATGAAATACTACAATATCTACTCCGTAGGATTATCAGGACTAATGAGATGACCCATACAAAGTGCCTGACACAAGAGTAAAAGCTCAACAGATGTTATCATTTGAAGTGTCACTTGTAACCTTGCCTTTAAACTTGCCTCACTCCATGTTCCACGACTGGCACCTATTTATTCACTCATTCAATGGGTATTTGTGGAGAACATCCTGTGTGCCAGGCTCTGCTCTAGGGAAGTTGATGCCTGACTGGGGTTTACACTCAAGAAGGCCAATGAAAAGATATTAGTGATATGCAGTGATGTTAGCAGAATTGGATGATGTAATGGAGCCTGCCTGGTGGAGGGCTGTGTCTAAGGAGGAGACATCTGAGAGCTAAATGTTGAGAAACCCCTGCCTGCAAATCTGAGAGAAGAGGGAGGGCAAAGGCCCTGAGGCTGATGAGTTGGCATATTTGAGGAAGAGAAAGAAGGCCAGAGATAATGCAATCTTTCCCAAAGAGAGTGTTGCACAGATGACAAGAGCAGGTGGGCAAGGATGCTCGCCACATTGTTATTTTTGGTGTGAGGCAGTAGTAGGTATCAGTATCAAGCCCAGGAGTACAGAGATAAGGTGAGCAGGTGCCCACTCTTGAGGATTTTGGAGTACTCACAAGTGACTGAGTAGATAATTTTGCAACAAGAAGGGTCTTCAAAACCTAACACCGAATGGGAAAAAGTGAAAAAAAAAAAGTGCTGTGTAACACAGCACCATTTGTGTAAGTTAACACTCTCACACAAAACAAGACTAAAGAGGTTACAAGAATGCAGAGAGAAAGATGCACAGGAAATATGCTGAATGGTTGCCCATGGGCTGAGTCAGAAGGATGTGGGGGCATTAGCCAGGAGGAGGAGGGGGGCTTACATTCCAGATGCAGACATAGGCAAAGGCTTGCAGCTATTGGAGAGCTGGTGCCCTTAGCAGCCCACACTTCCACAAGGCTGAGGTAGAGGGTTCAAACAGAGTATGGGGAAAGAGGAGCTCTGTCTCCTAGGGGCCTTTTCAGCCACCTCAAGTCATTTGTACTTATTCCCCATGGCAAGTGGAAAGCCATTGAAGAACTTCAAAAAGGGGAGTGAGCTGGCCATGCATGGGTTTTAGGAAACTCACTCTGGCTGTGACAGGGAAGACAGGACCAAGGCAGAGCCTGGAGGTCAAGAGAACAGCAGGAGAGTTACCACACTCCAGGTAGAGCTGAGAGCTTCTGGTTCTCCCCAAGTGGCACTACCCCAGTTACCCCAGTAACCACAGTGCCTGTGACCAATGCAGGGTCTAGCTAAGTCAGACCATGAAGCAAGACCAATAAAGCTTTCCTGAGTTGACCAGTTTTTCTGTAGCCCATCTCCACAGGAACAAATAGGTCCTAATAATCTGTGGAGAAAAGCAGAACTCAGAGAGGTTACATGACATGCTAAGAGCCACACAGCTCCTGAGAAGGCACCAGTAGGGTTGGAACTCAGGTCTGTCTCCAGAATTCAAGATTTTTCATCTTGGCTGTAAACTCCTAGACTATCAGGGATAGGATGTGCTTAAGAAATCATCTACCCACCAGTGCTGGTGACTTAGGCCTGTAATCCTTGCTACTTGGAAGGCTGAAATTGGGAGGATTGTAGTTTGAGGCTAGCAGGGAAAATAGTTTGGAGCAAAATGGACTGGAGATGTGGTTCAACCGGCAGAGTGCCTGCTTTGCAAGCATGAAGGCCTGAGTTCAACCCTAGTTCCACAGGGGGGTTAAAAAAAAGAATGGGAATGGCAAAAAGAGGGGAGCAGGCCAGGTACCAGTGGTTCATGCCTGTAATCCTAGCTACTCAGGAGGCAGAGATCAGAAGGATTTTGGTTCAAAGCTAGTCCAGCAAACACTTTGAGAGACCCTATCTAGAAAATACCCAATACAAAAAAGGGCTGACAAAGTGGCTCAAGTGGCAGAGCACCTGCCTAGCAAGTGTAAGGACCTGAGTTCAAACCCTCAAAAAAAAGTGGGGGGTGGGTTTGGACAGGTGGAAGAAACTTCTTTAAGAGGGGGCAGTGGAGGAGTCTGGTTGGTGGAAGAAAAACGTTTTATAAACATAAATGCCCAGTATGTCACCATCTTTCTCTCCCTTCCAGTCCTGTCTCTGGGCAATCTGGAGGGTTGCAGAGACCCCACATTTCTTGGGAAGGATTTTTTTCTTGGCAGTTCTGTGATTTGAACTCAGGATTTTGATGCTTGTTAGGTAGGTGCTCTACCACTTGAGCCATGCCCCCAGCCCTTTTTTTGCTTTAGTTTCTTTTCAGATAAATCAGACTTGAATCAAGATTTTCCTACCTATAACTCCTAGATAGCTTTAATTAAGGATCTGAACCACCATGCCTAGCTTGTTTGTTGAGATGGGATCTCAGTAACTTTTTGCCCTGGCCGGCCTCAAACCTCAATTCCCCTGATCTCCATCTCCCAGCACCAGGCTGGGACCTTGGGAAGGAATTTGATCACCAGGCACACTGTGCTCTGTCCTTGGTCCTGAAGCAACACTGTCATCAGTACATGTGTTGTTTTTTGAGACCAGGGACACTGGTTAATGACTCCTCTTTCAGTAATTCTGAAGCAGGTGAGGATTGTCATTTTCAGCCTTAAAAATATATCACTATGGGGCTGGGGGACGTGGCTCAAGTGGTAGAGTCCCTGCCTAGCAAGCGTGAAACTCTGAGTTCAACCTCCAGTATCAGGAAAAAAAACAAAACAAAGCAAAACAAAAATGAAACCCAGAAAACAAACCAGCATATATGCATCTTGCATCTCTTCATAGGGTGCTGTCTACACCCACTTTCCAGGGGTTCCAATTATAACCGCCCCGACCCACGTCGCAAGCCCACACCGTGAGCCCCATCACACCCAGTGACCACCCTCTCCATCTGCAAGCAAGCCCTCCATGGGCCCATTCCCATCAGGGCATCTGATGTTAGATGGGAGGTTAATGAGTTGCTAAGCAAGAAGAATCCTGTCTTAGTCTCCCAACCTAAATTGCTTCATTCATACGTTTTTAACAGTTGCATTATTTCCACCAATCATAAATCGATTTTTTTCTTTTTGAAAATGACAAGGAAAATACCTCTACCCCACTCCCATCACACTTGGGCAGCTACTCTTGTAAGCCTAAGGATCCGGAGAAGTCAGCGTGAGACTGGGGCGTGACAACCTGGTCTGCTTGCCCCCACTTACTGCTTCTTGATACAGTGTGTGTGTGTGTGTGGGGAGAGCAACACACATGGTCTGATCCCTGCCCAACTCTGCACTTCAGTTCTCATCTCCCACCCATTCATCCCAGCAGAATGAGATCACGTCTGGTCTGGAGATAGAAGGGCGCCAAGACACGGGGAAAGCAATGGGTTTAGAGGGCCATTGGCAATAGGATGCCATCTCCGTCCACAGAACTAGAGATGGGCCCTGTCCTCCAACTCTATTCTTCCTCTCCCTGTTTTCATTCCTTACCCCATTCACTCTGGGAATGAATTCTCACTACACCTTAGTTCTCTCTGAATAACTCATTAAACTTTCCGGAGCCTCGTTTTCCTAACATTTGTTAAACGAACGCACTAATCCCTATTTGTGGGGGATGTAGTGAGGTGAGGCAGGTAAAGATACAGCGTCACGCGCTAGGAAGACCCAGGCATTTCGCGGTGCTCTTGCCTCTGCCCCGCGCCCTCACCTGTTCTCAGCCACCAGGATCTGCTCCAGCAGGCGTGCGGCCTGCACGCGCGTCTCCAGCTCCGGGGCCTGCAACAGCCGCAACAGCAGGTCCAAGCCGCCGTCCAGGCGGATGGCATCGCACAGACCCTGAGCCACCTCGCGGCCCACGGCTGGCAGTAGCCAGGCCTCCTCCACTAGCTGGAAGACCTCGGCTAGGCCCGCGCCCACAGCCCGCGAGGCGCCCGCCTGCTTCAGTGAGGACAGCGCCTGCTGCAGCTCCGGCAGCGCACGCTCCAGGGCGCCCTGGACCTCGGTGCCCATCCCAGGGGACACCTCGCGGGAACCGCGGCCGCCCGCAGCCCACCACGGGCTCGCGCCGCAGTCCCGATCTGTCCCCGGCACCGTCAGCCGCTCGGCGCCCGGCCTTGGGCCCGACATGGCGAAGAAGCGGCACAGCTTGTAGGCGGAGAGGAGCAGGGTCAGGACCATGGGCACCGGGTGGCAGGGGACATTCCTGACCTGGAGAGGTGAGGCCTGGAGGAGCGACCCAAACTTTGGGAAAAGGGAGACCCAACAGGAGAAGGGGAGGAAGATGCAAGAGGGAGGAAAAGGGTACCGGGCAAGGAAGCCGGCCAGAAGTTTGGAGCAGGGGTAGGGCTGGCTCCGGGTCGCAGCGGCTGGGGGAGTGGGCGGAAGTGGGGAGTGGGACGTCGAAGCAAGGATCCAGACGCCGGAGAGTAGAGGAAGCAGCGCCCAGAACAAAGCGCCGCGCCAGCTCCGGCTCAGCTGGACCGAGAGATGCTCTGCAGCAGCCACGCCCCTGAGCAGGAGCCAAGAGTCCCGAAGCCCACGCCCCGCGTCTGGGTCTCGTGAGCTCCTCCCCCTCCGCCTGCGCAGCCCCACCCACAAGCCTCCGTCCCCGCCCATACTCCGGCTCCGCCTCTTCCCCATAGTCGCATCTCCATATCCAGTGCAATTTGTAGCGGGAGAAGGTGCAGAGAGGACAGTGTTGGTTTCCCCCCACTCCCTCCCCCTGGGATGTGGGATCAACCCTGCTGAGTTAAAGCAATCGCAGTAGCGATTCTGTACAACTCTTTTTTTTTTACCCAACAAAAGCAATATAACTTGTACAACTCTTAAAAAGCCATTTTATGCCTGTTTCTCAAGACCCACAAATGCCTGTGGGTAGGCTAATCTACATCTGAGGTTACTGTGGGTCACAGAGAAGAGAGTGGCCAAAGCCACACTCCCCTCAGATTACAGAGCAGAAAGCGTCTGCTAAAAACTCAGGATCATGTCCGTTATGTGTTGGGCGGGATCAGAAGTCTGTGAATTAATGAAATGGGTCACAAAACTGGGCATTCTGTGCCAGTGGGCATTTTTTGGGTAGAGGGAGAGTCTAAAAGTGCTGAACAAACCCACTCTACAGATAGGGAGATTGAGGGCAGGGACTGGGAGTAGCCTGCCCAGGATCAGTGGATTAGTGGCAGACCCAGGAATTGAACCTGGTCCAAAAGGTTTGTATTCATTGTTTCTTGTGCTGTGAAGACCAGCTTGGAGAGATCGATGCATCTACAAGGAGAAGCCAAAAATGAGCTTTGTTCTTTTATGATAAAAAAGAAAATTTCCCCAGAGTGCTTACCATCTCTCATTTCTTTCTCTCCTCCCACCCTCCTTTTACTGCCCTAAATACACAACGGGTGGATGTGCATGATGAAATGAATCATGGATCAATAACCATTTAAGGGAATAAGGCACTGGGCAGTTTGTTCTAGCTCATGTAATCTTGCAACACCTCACAAGACAAGGTATTTGTTAGTCCCCTTTACTGAAAACTAAGGCCCAGAGAGGTAAAGCATTTTGCCCAGTGAGTGACAGCATGGGCCTTCTTCCTGCCCTCCACATCTGCTGTGGCTATTCCTTGTCCTGATGACACGATGGCCCAAAGCTTGGCAAGCATTCTATTTTCCAGCTCTCCCAGGATCAGGGCCTGGGAGTGTGACCCTTTACTGCAGCAGTCTTTGGAGTTGGGAAACTGGGGGCTGGGCTGGAAGTTGAGCAAACAGAGCAGCAGAATGGTCAGCTTCTCTTCTCCAGTTCCCTCCCTCCCTGCCTACCTCTCCCTGTCTTCCTCAGGCAACGGAGTGGAGGAGCGCAGAGCCCAGCTAGCCAGACCCTCAACTAGAGGCCCGCCATGGCACCCCAGAGGCCCCTTCTCATGCTGGCCCTGCTGGCATGGGTTGCTCTGGCTGACCAAGGTCTGGGAGGGTGTTGGTGTCCATCTGGGTCAGTGAAGGGTGGGAAAGGGTGGCATGGGTTAGGCTGTGCCAACTGATACTCCTTCCCCGTAGAGTCATGCAAGGATCGCTGCACTGAGGGTTTCAACGCCAACAAGAAGTGTCAGTGCGATGAGCTCTGCAATTACTACAAGAGCTGCTGCGATGACTACATGGCCGAGTGCAAGCCCCAAGGTCTGTTCAGAACCCGGGTTGGGAAGCCTGGGGTCCCCTCTACAGCTGGAGACTCATTACCATCCATTCTGCCTACAGTGACTCGAGGGGATGTGTTTACTATGCCAGAAGATGAGTACGGGGCCTATGACTACCACGAGCAGAACAAGGACAACTCCAATGTCCCTGCACAGTCAGAAAGCCCCTCCCTGAGCTCTGACCTGCAGCCCCAGCGTGAAGAGACAACTGACCTAGCCCCTATCCTGAAGCCTGAGGAAGAAACTCCTCCATATGAGGCGAGCACTAATACGCCTGAGATAGTGACCTCAGATTTCGGGGAGGTGAACCTAATGCCTGAGATCACTGATCAAGGGATCCCTGAGTCCCCAGCAGAGGAGGAGCTGTGTAGCAGAAACCCCTTTGATGCCTTCACCGACCTCAAGAATGGTTCCCTCTTTGCCTTCCGAGGTGACTCCAGGGGCAGGTCTTGGGAGTTGGGGGTTGTTCCTAGTGTCCTCTTCCTTACACAGCCTCCCCCTCTCCTAGGACAGTACTGCTATGAACTAGATGAAGCATCAGTGAGGCCTGGGTACCCCAAGCTCATCCGAGATGTCTGGGGCATTGAAGGCCCCATTGATGCTGCCTTCACTCGTATCAACTGTCAGGGCAAGACCTACCTCTTCAAGGTATCAGATCCAGGGGCTGTGGATCAGGGTGGAGGCCACTGAGGAAAGAGTGAGAGCTGTGAAGACAGGCAATCTGAGGCTCTAGGTCCTGGGCAGTGAGCTCCTAGGGAGAAGGGGCAGGGGCGGGGGGATGACTACTTTAGGGTATGGGACTCTGCCTCTGTGTCCAACCAGCTGTCTCCTCACCCCCTTTCATCTTTCTTTCCTCAGGGTAGCCAGTACTGGCGCTTTGAGGATGGTGTTCTGGACCCTGATTACCCCCGAAACATCTCTGATGGCTTCAGTGGCATCCCAAACAATGTGGATGCAGCCTTGGCCCTGCCTGCCCACAGCTACAACGGCCGGGAGCGGGTCTACTTCTTCAAGGGTACTCAGAGGGTGGGAGGAAAATGGGCAGGCAGTGGAACAGTACTGGTTTCCTTCCATGCTTCCCTGGGCACAGGCCTCAGTATTCCTCCATACCCTGTGCCAGAGCTGCTAGCTTCCATAGCCTCTGGGCTCTCCAGCCTTCAGGCCCACCCTCCTGATGCCAGTTGCCCTGCTCCCCAGGGAAACAGTACTGGGAGTATGAGTTCCAGCACCAGCCCAGCCAGGAGGAATGTGAAGGCAGCTCCCTGTCTTCTGTGTTTGAGCACTTCGCCCTACTGCAGCGGGACAGCTGGGAGGACATCTTTGAGCTGCTCTTCTGGGGAAGATCTTCTGGTATGGAGGGAGGGCAAATCTTGCTTCTGCCTTAGGAGGCCTGGAGAACCCTGGTAGGAGTAGGGCTGGGCTGCTGGAGGGGGCTGGGATTTGGAGCTATTGATCAAGAGCTATTTGTTCAGGCCAGACTTTGCTTCTGTTGACTTTTGGGGGGAGGACTGGCTCCACTTGGACCCCACACCTTGGACTTTGCCTAGCATAGACAAAGGCACTGCTAGCGTAAGGGAGGGGACAAAACTGAGGGCCCTGGGAAGACTTGGGGTGTGGGACAAAGATACAGGTGATATGGCAGAGAGAGGACACAGGAAAGAACACTGAACAGGGAAGCTAAGACCTGGGTGATGGGTTCTGTTACCCATTTCCTATGTGTTTTGGGCAAGATACAGTTGGAGAAAGCAGGGCCTGGGTCTCTAAAGCCCCCTACAAACCCCTTTCTTGTCATACAGGTGGTGCCAGAGAGCCCCAGTTCATCAGCCGGGACTGGCATGGTGTACCTGGAAAAGTGGACGCTGCCATGACTGGCAGAATCTACATCTCAGGTTCAGCACTTCGCCCCCCTCAGGCTAAGAAGCAAAAGTCTAGGCGACGCAGCCGCAAACGCTACAGTTCACGCCGTAGTCGTGGCCGTGGCCATGGCCAGAACTCCCGTCGGCCATCCCGTTCAGTTTGGATGTCCTTGTTCTCCAGTGAGGAGAGTGGGCTGGGAGCCTTCAACTATGATGACTACGATATGAACTGGCTTGTCCCTGCCACCTGTGAACCCATCCAGAGTGTCTACTTCTTCTCAGGAGGTGGGAGCCCCTGCTACCCCTGAAGCTGGTCTTGTCTGGGCCTTCCCTACTGGCCCTGGTCCCCATGTGCTAAACACAGACTATAGGCTGTGACCCTAACAGGCCAGGCCACAGTCCCTAGCCAAATTGTGGACATTCACTTTCCTTTCTGGAAGAGACCACAGTCTTCTTTCTCTGGGCAAATGGGCAGGGCCAGGCTGGGTCTCACATAGCCTCTCCTGTCCTCTCTTTCAGACAAGTACTACCGAGTCAACCTTCGCACACGGCGAGTGGACAATGTGACCCCTCCTTACCCGCGCTCCATTGCCCAGTACTGGCTGGGCTGCCCAGCACCTGAACACCAGTAGAGTCAGAGCCCACACAGTTGGGCTTCCATAACTCCCTCTTCCAACCTTCTCACCCCAGTCCAATAAAGGCCTCTCGGCTCTGAGCTTAAGACTACTGTCCTGACTGGGGTAGGCAGATCTCTGCCTGGAAAAAAGAAGGGAGGCTGGGCTATCAGGATGGGCTAAGGGGAGAAACAGAGAAGAGCCTCTCTATGAACCAGCAAAGTTGAGACCTGGGGAGGGCCTCAAGGGAGCTACTCCAGAGCTGAGCAGCCTCCACCAATCCAACAGCTACACAGGTCTTGAACCCCTCTGGTGACAGAAGTTACCAAGTCACACCCTCCCCACGGCAGTGAGCCCTACTTTGCCATTGGAGTTGACTAGGGTGTTAGAGAAGAGAGAAGAAAGTGGAGGTAGGGCTCTAGCTCAGCTTTTCTGCCCATCTTGAATCTAAAATCTAGTTAGTTCCTGAGTGGCAGAGGAACTGACCACCACGCTTCCCATAACTCATTCCTAGGATGGGCCTTTCTTTGAGGTCTTTGTCCTGGGTCTGCAGTGGGAAGCAGTGAGATCAAGAGAGATAGGGAAGGACAGAAACTGGAAGGAAATATACATGCACCCCTGCTGTTAGCAAAGCAGACCAGAAGACTTCAAAGGAAGAAAAGAACACTGTAAAAGTAAACATCCTTTTGGGGGGGGTAGGTGTTAGACAGGGTCTTTCTATGTAGTCCAGACTGGTCTCAAACTTGAGCTTCTCCTGCTTCAGACTCCCGAGTGTTGGTATGATAGTTGTGTACCACCACACCTGACCTAAAAGCAAATATCTCTCAAACCCCAACTTGGGTCTCCCTGGCTCCAGGTTTCTGGACCCCAGGAAGCCCATCTGGGTTCTTGAGGGGCCAGAAACCATTAGGTAGAGACAAAGCTCTAGAACAGTCCCAAGGACAATCTAGTGGCAACATCAATTCCCCAGCCTTGCTGACAGCAGGTGGCTCCAGCTCATCTGTTGTCTCTATCTTTATCACCCCATCCCCACCCCTTGTGGCATAGGACTCCACCCACATCCCCCTGAAGGGAGCCAGGACCAGGGCACCAAGAATTCCAGAAGGGCCAGCCAGCGTCCTGGGAGCAATGGAGATGGATTTTTGTGGCTTTCAGAAAGGACCCTGGGAAGGATTTTCATGCAGTATAGAGTTCAGGAGGCTGAGGTTTGAGGACGGAGGCTGGACCCAGTTTCCTTGTGAGGCTGAAATGAGGCGGGGCCATCAAACTTGCCCCACCCATACCCCCATCAGCTCCAAGCCTGCCTTACCCCACCCCTCTGCTTTGTAGGAGTGTACTCTAAGCATATCCCCTGTAGGGGCGGGTTCAACTCCTTTGAGCAGCATAAAACCCCACAAGGAGGGGTCTAGTGTGGGCACAGCCCTGGCATGGCCTCTGCCAGCTCCATGGCCAGCCGTGAGCAGGCATCTCAAGGTGATCTGGGGGAAAGGGTGGGGAGGGTGAGGTGGGCCAGGGTGTGATGGAGAAGGAAGGGGTGGGAAGTCGAGGGGAGCTATAGGATCTATCCAAAGCTACAAGGTTGGGTGGAGGCTCTTGCAGGGAGTCCTGGCTTGATGCCCACCCTGGCCTACAGACCGTGTCAGTGGGTTGGGTCCCCATCGGAGAAAGAGGACCACCTTCAGCGTTGGGCAGCTGCTGGAATTGGAGCGGGTGTTTGCAGCATGGCCCTATCCTGACATTGGCACTCGTGAACACTTGGCCCAGGTCACCCGCCTTCCAGAGGCCAAGATCCAGGTGAGTTGTGACCCCTTTCCCTGCCTCCAGATAGGGTCACATAGCCAACTTCTGGGCTTGACTTTCAGCCCATTCTCTGGGAATCTTGCCTTTAGGTTGTCTTCCCTGCTCCAGGGGAGGGGTGCTAGAGACAGGATAGACCCTTCGTCTTCCCTCCCAGGTGTGGTTCCAGAACCGCCGGGCCAAGAGAATCAAGAACAGGAAGTCAGGAGGCTTCAGTCCCAGGCCTGAGTCTCCTTCAAGCTCCTGTTCTCTTCTAGACACCTCCCAGCAGTCCTGCATGCCCCAAACAGGCCAGCCTTCACTTGCCACCAGCATGGTTCAGTGCACCTCAGCATGTCCAGAGGCCTCCTGTGCAGCTCCTGGCTTGGATCCAAGGCAGGGGTGGGCAGGGACTAAAGCTGCAGCACCATGGGGAATGGCCAGGGATCCAGGGTTTCACCCTTTTTTGGAGCAAGCTACTCCTCAGACCTCACTGGGTAGCCTGTCTGACCTTATTTATGCCTCAGCCATTGTCACTAATGTGGACCACTCCTAATCGAGGTTCAAAATTTTTTAAGATCTCTACTCTGGCTCTCGTGGCCCATGCAACCCCTCCCAGGATTGAACTCAAAAATGGAACTCCTGCCCCCTCCATTTACATAGCAGTTATCTAACAGGAAGGGTTTAGCTCAAGGACCCCTTCTATCAGCCTCCAGCCCAGCCTAGATGCAGTGACTGGGGCTTGGCTCCTCTTAGCCAACATCCTGGCCACTCCTGGGGGCATATAACCATTGTCTTGGCAGAAGATGCCATCAGAAAGATGAGGTAGGAAGCCATGTTTCCCCTCTCTTGCCAGGCTTGATCAATTCTTTCCACCTCAGCTGATGACCTCCTTTCTTAAGTGGCCACTCTCTGGTGAGGGTCCATCAGGCCACCTAATTAACTGCTAAGTGAGCCATGGGGAGAACTGCTGCTAATCTGGACTGCTGGGGACCCAACCTTTTATGGCTCAAGGCCCCCTCTCTTGATTTCCTACCACCTAGACAAATTAATCTGATCTATGTATCTAAAGTGGGAGTGATATTAAAGTAACAGAAACGGGAGCCTGGGGCTTAGGTTGATTCAATTTTTCATAAAGATCAGATGGATGTCCTCTGACGTGGTGCTGCGGGACGTGACAGATCTGAGGTGGAGGAGATACAGCAGCACTGGGTTTGGTATCACTGTCATCTGTAATACCAACTAATCTCCAAATAAAACCCAACTCTTTACCTTCATCTGGATTGTTGTGTGCTACAAATGGGGATGAGGGCTGTTTGCCTTGAAAATTTATCTCCATCACCTAATCCCCAAATAAGGCCAGGTTCCACAGACCCTGGGTGGAAGGTATTATCCAGGATTCTGCTGGGATTAGTTAGAGGGATGATTAATTGAAGGATTTAGAGCTCTGATAGACCCTGGGGAGATGGGAGCCTCTACTAGCATCCCTTTCAGCCCAGCTGATTCTAGGACATTTCAGTTGCCTCTTCCTCTGGTGCTGCCTTACTTTGGGGAGAAGAGCATGGAGTTTGAGATCAGTCTGTGCTGTATTCAAACCCTGGCTCTGCTTTGTAACTATAACTCTGAAATTCCATGTCCCTGAAAAGCAGGGATGGCAACACTTGCTTCCTTTCTGTTTAAGAATAATGTACATAAAGGGCTTCATGTGGTGTGTAACATCTTATAAAAACTCTATAATGCTGGTTTCCTCTGCTTCTCCATATAGACTATGAGAAACTGGGAGGGCCTCAAACTTCTTATCCCTCTGAACACCTTCCAAGCATTTCTTGGACCCAGAAAGCAGGAGAAAGCGTGGTAGGCAGAGAGAAATGGCTAAGACAGAGCTTCCTTTTCCGTGCTAAGAACTGGTTACCTGATTCCTAATCTTGTCTTGGTTCTCCCATATGGAACCCTCCTACAATGGCTGTCTCTTCATTACTCATTATGCAGGAGCTAAGTTTTTTGCTTCTCTATCCCCTAGCACAGTACCTGGTCCATAAAGCAGCTCTTGGTAAGAGCTCAAACCCATTGACGCCTGTTGGCTTGTGTGCAGGGGGCTGGGATCCAGTGGAAATTCTATCCTAATGAATGGCAAGGGGGAACAGAATAACCCTAATTTTACTAAGATATCCTAAGCTGTTGAGATTCTGATAAAGTCAAAGTTAAAATCTCTTTAACATTCAGAAGCCTTCCAACCTAAATTCAGGCCTGGGGACATGTGAGCAGCCTGGTGCATAGAATGCAGACACAGGAAAGCAAGCTACCAGTCCCCACAAGACTTCAGGGCAGCTCTCTGACCCAATCTTCAACAGTGTAGGTTTCTAGGAACACTGTAAAATGACAGCTACATTTTCCCACAGCTGACAATTTTCCCAACTAACAGAAATGGGCACTTTGTGGAGGAAATGTCCATTGAGCTGGTGAATATATAATTTGTAAGAATAGAAAAGCTTTTGGGCAAAAAACCCTATAGGAGCATATGCATTGAACAAATAGGAAAAGAGACTCCCATTAGTAGCAGACCCTTCCTAATTCTCAGAATCATGGAAGTTCTTTGAGCTTTTTGTTAGTTTTCACAGGATTTGAAATAAGAATACACTAGACACGATAAATATTTATTGGATAAATAACTGAGGGTGACACCCATTTAAGCATCTTACACAGACTCTGTCATTCTACCACTTAGTTAAGTTCTCACAAATTTAATATTACACAAAGCCATCAGGAAAACACAGGAGTTTTTTGCTCCACATAATAAGAGGAAGTACCATGGCTGGTCATTTGTTCTCTCTCAGTCTGTTTTGCCTTCCAAAAAAGTAGGTAATATTTCCTTTTCCAAAAAGGTAGCTGCCTGGCTTCCAGTTCCACTATCTTATACCGATCCATCTTTCTCTTTTTTGATGTATGCCCTCTGATTTGTTCCTCTCTAGCATAAACTAGACAGAGGGAGCTGTTCCGTTTTCTTGGAGGCCTCTGACCTCAATACAGGCCTGCACCAAAGATGGGTGGATGAAGGATAGCAGTTATGTGCAAACTTGGGCGAGTTCAAGGCAGTATGATCTACTTTTGGGAAGGCCTTTATTCAACTTATCTTGATAGAAACACCCCAATCCCAGCAGTGCCCAGAATGGACTGGAGAAGGCAGATGGGCACTAGCTTCAGGAGAAAGCATGGAGAGAGCAGTTCTTTTAGTTCTGAAGAAGTGTTGGCCAGGCACTGGTGGCTCACGCCTGTAATCCTAGATACTTAGGAGGCAGTATCAGGAGGATCGTGGTTCGGAGCCAGCCTAGACAAATAGTTCGTGAGACCCTATCTTGAAAAAACTCATCACAAAAAAGGGCTGGTGGAGTGGCTCAAGGTGTAGGCTCTGAGTGCAAACCCCAGCACCAAAAAAAAAAAAAAACAACAAAAGAAAAAAACCAAACACAGCTCCCTGCAGGAATAGCAGGTGGCCTAACTGCAGCTGAGTACAAAGAGCCTCACATGTTGGTTGAGAGTCAGTGGTTGGCAGTTGAAAGCCTGGGGCCCTGAAAAACCTTCTCTAGATTTTGACAATGAAGCACCAGTTACAGTTCTCCCAACTCGCCTTCCATCACCCGCACCATGACATACAGCTCAGCCAGACCCACCACTGAGGCGACGATCAATGCAGCCAGTACCCGCTGGGAAAAGGGAAAAGTAGGCTTTAGGAGATGCAGGCCAATGTCCAGTTCTGCGGTCCTTAGCACCCCTAATAAGGATGGAAACCACCCCCCACCCCCGCAACCAAGCCTCTAACTTGGGAGAGGAAGAAACAGGATCTGGCTTGTTTTGGGATTACTACCAACCCCCATGACTGCTGGAAAGCTCAAATATGCCCTTTGTTTACTGCATAAATATATGCTCAATTTTTAACCTACGCAAAGCACTTTCACACATCCTCCTTTTTCCACTAATACCTGGGGCACTTTGTCCTACCCAGGACCTACTCACCGAAGCCATTTCTGTGAAGATATACTGGCTTCCAAGATAAGTGCAGACAAAGGCAGCTGCCACCGTGACAATGAAGTTGAAGATAGTGATGACCAGAGCCTTCACTGACCTCACTTTGTGGAGGAGCCCAGAGAAGAAACCTTTAGGTCAGCATTTTTCAGGAGGCCCTCTCACCTCATGGCTGCCTCCCCCATCAACTGGGTTCTCTTGAAACAGCAAATCTGAACAGCCCAGCCTTAAACCCATGCTGGGGTGGGAAGGATGCCACAACCAATCCCAGGGAGAAGTAGTTTTTTTTGGGTGGGAACTGGGGTTTGAATTCAGGGCTTTATACTTGCAAAGCAGGCAGTTGGTCTACTGCTTGAGCCCCACCTCCAGCCCCCACACAAGGAGAGGTTTTAGCAACCTGGTTTCCTAGCATCTCACCTTGCTTTCCCAGATCATTGAGAGTTCCACTTTGCCTTGAGTCCTAGGAAATAGAAAAAGCAGATGATTCAGAATGGAGGTAGTTCAGAGGCAGCTCAGAGTGCACCCTTTGTCAGTCTGATCACAGTCCTCAATTCCTTAACACATTAACTCTGCATTTACCATGGATTCTTTTGCCTAGGACCAGTTTTGATTCTTTTCTGGACCACAGAGTAAGCATTTCAGAGACAAGCCATAGGTTCCCAGTACTCACCTACTCTCCTGTTTTAGGGTAGACGTGCTCCAGAGAATAGTAGGGAATCCTGTCAGAAAAAAGGCTCCTAGGCTGGTGTGGTTGTATATACCATGCATCCCAGCACTCAGGAGGCTAAGATAGGAGGATCTTGACTTCCAGGCCAGTCTGGGCTATACAGTGAGACCCTGTCTCAAAAATGAAAGAAGGCTCCAAGGCTCATCTCCACTTTATAATACTTAAGAATCAGTCACTATCTAAGTCCAGAGTCTCAGTGAATGCGTTGGAAATAACATTTAGTTTGGCAGTACTGGGGTCTGAACTCAGGGCCTTGTGCTTGCTAGGCAGGTACTCTACCACTTGAGCCACACCCCCAGGCTAATGTTTAGTTTGTATGCAACACAGAGATTCTGTGGTTCTGGAACAGTATACCAACCAAGTTCCCATGTTGTTTTTTCTTCTTCTGTATCTCTTTCCAGTGCAGGGCCCTGTTTTTAGGCCCATGAATTGAAGAGCAAGCCCTTACCTGACAGGTGACATTATGAGTGATTCGCTTATATTCCTCATTGGCCAGCTGTATTTTAATCTTCTCCAGCCGGGCAACTAGCTCTGGGTTCTAAAGTAGAAAAGTCACATGGGAAGAATAATGTTCGTCTACATATTTCTAGCTATAAAGTATGTCATAATCATTGCTTCAAAGAGGCACTGTACTGCTAAGTAAGGGTGCCAATTATAGTTCCATTGCTTTGGAAATTGTTTTTTTAGATTCTAGTTTTATAAAGCTAATAGAGAAGGCCCTTCATCCCAGATGCTTAAGATTTAAGACAAAACTGTGAGCCCAAAAGTCAATAAACTCAATGCACAACTAGCCAATTCCTGCTCTCATGAACATATCCCTTACATACCCGGGGAGGCTTCACAAACTCTGGGAGATAGATTTCACTGCCTTCTAGGAGTTCATGAAGGTATAGTGTAGAATCTGGAAGAAAAGGTTTCCACATAGTGACCCATAGACCTGAGAGTGAAAGATTATCAGAGAAGAGCCAGTTTCTTTTTTCTCCTGAACTAAAGCATGGCCATACCTATGTCAACCCACCCCTAGGTCATTTTCAATTGTGAGAAATCTAGGACAATTCCACCGAAGTATTTCCTCATGCCGCACAGTTAGCTTTAACTGTCATATCTCAAATACCCAGCCAATATTATAACCAACACATAACATCTGCTTTTGGATTAGGTCATTTCTGTAACTACAAGGGATCTTCCCTAACTAGGCTTAGGTTGTAGTATTCAGAGGACACTGTACTAGATTATCTCTTTTTGAGGTCCTTTTTTAGTTCTAATAGTTGTGCAGTCTACCCTTTGCACTTCTGGCTAGTCTATGTTAATTCTGGCAAAACATCTAACACACCAATTTGTCTTATTCCTTCCCTTTACAGAAAAGGAATTGAGGCCCACGGAGGAAAAATGACTTCTTCCAAGGGAGTTAGTGACAAAAACAGGAAAATATGCTATTCCTAGTCCAGATCTTTCAACCTATCTACTCCCGCCCTCCAAAAAATAAAAGAGCAGGCATGCATCAAACTTCACCACTCTTGCTTTTGAGATGGAAATAATTTCATATTCCCAATCAGGACAAGATCACTATGCTAAGTTCCTAATGTGCCAAATAGGAAGAAATTGAATCTGGGAGATGAAACTGGGTTAGAACCTCGACCTTCTCAAGGGTCGGGTGTGCCCGCAGGAGGAGACTTAAAAGAACAGAATCTGCACAAGCAAAATTTGCCATCCAGGAAGAATTCTCACAGGCACCGGGAAGGGAGTGACCCTGGGGTTTATGAGGATTGGTTACGTGAGTACACAGCAGGAGAGGGAGAGTGATGGAAGGAGTAGATCTGGAAAGAGGGAGGCGACCCTGGCCTGGAGACTGGCTCACCCCTTTCTCTCAGATGCTGGTGCAGATCCCGAATCAGACGGAAGGAAACTAAGCGTTGGGGGCCACTACGGCCATTACCGCCCGTGTTCTTCTTCCTTAGTGCGGCCTCAAGCTGGGCCCGCAGTTTCCTGGGCAGGTGCTCTGGCTCCAATTCTCCGCCGGGGCCCAAAGCGCGAACCAGTCGTTCGCCAGCAAGTAAGGAAGACGCCATATCTAGCTGATTCTATGGTCAGGTGATCCTTAACTCGGACTTCCGCTCGTCTGCGCCGGAAGTAGCTTGGAACCTGCGGGGCGGGGCGGGGCGGGGCGGGGCGGGGCGAGACGGGGCAAAGGGCCAAGGGGGCGGGGACGAAGCGCGGGGCAGTGTGGGGCGGGGGCGGGACGCCGCCCGGCCGCGGGTCGGGCCCTGTGTCAGCAGCCGAGCGGGCGCTCCAGCCGGACATGGCAGGCTGTGTGGCCCGGCGGGCCCTGGCCGTGGGCCACCGCTGGTGGTCCCGGTCACTGACCGTGGCCCGAGAGTTGAGGCCGCTCTGTGCTGCGGGTGGAGCGGGAGCCTTTACGCCAGGGGCGAGTACGACGACGCGAAGGCATCTCTCGTCCCGGTGAGGGACGGAGCGAGGGGACTCGGGAGCCGTGCCCAGAACCCAGAGAACGTGTTCCTGGGCAGCGAGGAGGCCAGGATGCTCGGCCACTTGAGGGTGACCGGAGTTCAACCTAGGAGAGGGTCCCGAGCAAAGAGCCTATGTGCGCTGCCTGGGACTTGTGCCAGGAGCAGAGAAAGGAGCGCGGCCCAGAACTCTTGGCTCTGCAGGGCTGGCTCCGAGGGGGAACTAGTAACGCTCCCCGAGAGAATCCTACCTTCTTGGCTGGGGTCCCCAGCACCCTGTTAGTGGGCGCCTTTCAGTACAGCCACAGTCCCCAGCCCCGATTAGAAAGATGCTAGAGGTGGGAGACAAATTGACTTGTGGGCCCTTGTCCTCGTGGGTCCTAGGTTTCCGCATGACCTTGGGGAGCCTGGTTTCCTCTGTGTGACTTGGGGAAGGGGATTTGAGGCACGGGGGTGAGCTGTGCCTCCAGGGATGAGACAGAAGTTCACATCTCCACAATGCAACAAGTGCTTTGAAGGGTCCTGTGTAACTGTCAGAGCTGACCTCATATTGGCTGAGGCTAGATGGTGATATTGGGGAGAGGTGATAGTTACTTGCAATTTAAGGCTCCTGTGAAAACTGATGCAAATCTGAACAAAAACTATTGAGAGACTGCAGTAGTAGGTGTAATGTGTGGGGCACAATAGGTAATCCAGAGATGATTAAACTCTTAAGGGTACACTATGGACTAGTACAGTTTTGAGAAGAGATGGACATAGAATTATGATACAGTATCAAAAAAGTTTTTTTTGGAGACAGTGTCTCACTATATAGCTCAAGCTGACCTCAAACTCATGAGCCTCCTGTCTCAACCTTCTGAGTGCTGGGATTATAGACATGTATGTACTGCCACACTAGGCTTAGTACAAAACTGTGGTTAGAGCAGCTCTTATACACTAGGCTCTGAGGGGCAGTATAGGCTAATCAGACCCAGCCATTGCTCCCAGGGAAGTTAAGAGTCTCTCTAACGGAGATACAGCATGGCACAACTGAAATGTAAAGTAAGAGGGTGGGCTAGTGAAGAAATGGGGGTAAGGGGGTTTATTTAAGCAGGGTATGTGGCCATGATGTTTGGAATGCTGAGTGAAGAGAGAAGGAAGTGACCTAGGAGCAATCAGATCTCATGCTGGGAGACTGGCAATGTCTTCATCAAGTAGGGGCTTGTAGTTTGTTGTAGCTGGACCTCAAAGAAGGAAAGGCAGCAGCTCTGCATGTGGTGTGTGTCTTGGCAGACCCCAAATCTGTTTCAGCTGGCCACCCTGCCATAGCCCTTTTCTGCTGTCATTGTCCTGGCCCCTCAGTATCCTAGCTGTTTCCCCCCACCCCCCCACAATGGATAAGTACCATTACTTTCTTAGCTTTTCATTTGCTTGTTCTTTTCCTTCCTGATCAGAAACCGAGCAGAGGGCAAAGTGTTGGAGACAGTTGGTGTGTTTGAGGTGCCAAAACAGAATGGAAAATATGAGACTGGGCAGGTAAGTATTGGGCTGGGTCAGCTTTCATTTTCATGACGTATTCTTATGAATGGAGTCAGATTTGGTCACAGGCCTGAATGGTATGGTTTTTCATTCATTTTTTCCTTTTAGTGCTGGGGATCAAATTCAGGGCCTGTGCATATTAGGCAAGAGCTCCTCTGCTGAACTGTACCCCTGGCTCCAATCTACCTTCAGTTTGGTGCCAGACCAGAATTACAAGTCTTTTACAATGAAGTTTCTTTTTGTGGTACTGAGGTTTGGACTCAGGGCCTGCACCTTGAGCCACTCCACCAGCCCTTTTTATCTGATGAGTTTTTTCAAGATAGGGTCTTGAGAACTATTATGCCCTGTCTTTGAACCTCGATCCTCCTGATTTCTAGTGGCTAGAATTGCAGGCATGAGCCACCAGTACCTGGCTTAAGATGAGGTTTCTATGTTCCTGGATTTGAATGCACTTAATATGTCAGTAGGTTCTTTTTCCAAGTTAGTGGGGACAGGGATTGTCTGGACAATAGTAAGGAGAAAGTCAAATTGCAGAAGATTCCTCTTAGCATAGTGGATGGTGGAAATCAGTGGGGAGCTTTCAGAAAAGCAAACCTTTGATGTTTCATTATCAAACTTACTACAGTGTGGCAAGCTCTGGGTGTGAGGCTGTTTTCTCTGTATCAGCTTTGTTCCAGGTCCACTGGGGGTAGATTTAGGCCCCTTGTAGGTAAGGAAGGATTTTTGTTTATGACTCCAGTCCATTTTACTCTGGTTATTTTGGAGATGGGGGTCTTGCAAACTGTATGCCTGGGCTGGCCTTGAACCTTGATCCTTCTGATCTCAGCCTCCCAAGTAACTAGGAATACAGGCTTGAGCCAACAGTGCCTGGATACTCAACAGTTTTTTTGTATGCCTAAAAATGGACCAGGCATTGTGCCTTAGGGTTAAATCAAAAAGCAAGGTAGACATGGTTCTTCATGAAGTTTATAGTCTAGAAAGGAATTAATGACTTGCAAATGGTCAGTGGATGTACATTGGGCTAAATGGAGGGAAGGTCAAAGAATGCTTCCTTAAAGGTCAAAGCTGTGACCTGAAGGATGACAGGAGTCAGCCAGGTGAGGAGGGTAAAAGAGTGTTCCAGAATTGGCCAGGTTGGTCACAGAGTTCAAGGGAAAAGGTGGCAAGACTGTGTGCTGCAGTTGCCTCTACCCATACTACTTTGTGGCAAGGCCCCACCTGGATAGGTTTGCTGGATTGCAGACTCACTGAGGCTTCTCTGTCCCCCTAGCTTTTCCTTCATAGTGTGTTTGGCTATCGAGGTGTCGTCCTGTTTCCCTGGCAGGCCAGACTGTACGACCGGGATGTGGCTTCTGCAGCTCCGGAAAAGTAAGTTTCTCTGTCATGGCTTACAGTGTCCTCAGGAGGAGGCCTGACTCATGGCAGGCCTACATAATTGGGATCTCAGGAGTGAATTCAGCATCCTCTTGACCTTAGAAACAGCTCCAGAATACTTCTTGGGTACTAATAACCCATGGAGACAAAAGTGCTGCGTGCCAAGGACAGTCTTAAACAAGAGGGTCCCTATAGGCCTCCCCAGTATGCACTCTCACACTACTCTCAGTTTTCATAACCAGTATTCCAGGGGACGGTTTGGGAACCATTCTTCTGGGTTTTTTTCTTTCCATCTTTTAAAAAAAATTCGTTTCTTGATGTTCAGTTGGAATTTTTCTTGTAATCTCACATTATCTCTAGAATATATTAAAAAAAGAAAAGGAACAACTCCATTAAGTGATCACTGACAACTTCTAGGGTGTGAGAGGTGTAGGGTACTTGTGGCCCGGGGACTGAGGTGGCAATTGGATTTAATCATCATGGCTTCCCTCTAAGAGTCATCTAGAGCATAAGACAAATGATGACTATGTGAGCCCCCTGGGCTCCCTGGGGAACAGCTGGGCTAGAGTATTGCTGAAGAGGTGCCCAGCCGATGCCAAAGCCTCTTCAAATCAGAGACCAGCCTGTTTAGGTGAGGAGGTGGCTGGGAGCTGAGTCAGATAGCTTCAACTTCTCTCAGTGTGATCTGGGGCTTCTACTCCACAGAACAGAGAACCCTGCTGGCCATGGCTCTAAGGAGGTGAAAGGCAAAACTCACACTTACTATCAGGTGCTGATTGATGCCCGTGACTGTCCTCATATAGTAAGTAAGCAAGATGGTTGGGCCTGAGAGTCCCATCTGTGGGAACTCTCACTCCAGTGGGGACAAAGGGAGGGAGAGGGGTTAGACAAAGTCCATATCAGTCCTTGGCCCCAAGGCCTCTGAACTGGACAGTGGCCAAGAAAACCCCTGAATTACTTCTTGCTTTAGTCTCAGAGATCTCAGACAGAAGCTGTGACCTTCTTGGCTAACCATGATGACAGCCGGGCCCTCTATGCCATCCCAGGTGAGGAGTTAGCATCTAAATGGTGCTTGAGGAGGTGTCTGCTGTGTCCTAGGGGGAGGAGTCTCATGTCCTGTCATGTGCTGGTAGGGATTATGGTGCTGAGAGGTATGGTGCCAGGGTCACCTCTGCTGTGTGAGTCTCACTGTCTTTGCCTTTGTGTGCCAGGCTTGGACTATGTCAGCCATGAAGACATCCTTCCCTATACTTCCACGGATCAGGTTCCCATTCAACACGAGCTCTTTGAAAGATTTCTTCTATATGATCAGACAAAAGGTAATCTTGCTCAAGAAGAGAGGCAGGAATAGGAGGGTCCTTTCTTTAAGGAGGGTATCATAGAACTAGTTCCACAGTTCCACTTTCCTTAGTTCTGTGGCTAGACAGTGGCTACTGCATCTTTACAGAGAAACTGAGGCTTGGGGATGATAAGAAGTGACTCAGGATTGCTAAGTGGTAGTGGCTGGAGGTCTGAAGACCAAAACTCTTGATTTGTTTGTATTTTTTTTAAAGCATGTATTAGTTGTACGGGTGGTTTCATTGAGACACATATTTGCTTACAATGTATCTTAATTAGATTCACCCCTCCATCATTCTCCCTCATTTCCCTTCCCCTCCTTTGAACAGTTTCAACAGGTTTTATTGTTTAGTTTTACATTTGTATACAAAGTACATGGACAATATTTGCCCTCCTTC